TAATCCTAGTTTATAGGTGCTTTGAGTCATTTTTTATTTTTGCTTGCGCTTTGTATCTAGGATGCGCTTGGTTAGAAATTCACAGTCACTGCGATAAATACCAGTGCCATTCACGGAACAATGGCAACGGTGGCACCTGATCAGCACAGATATTCTTCAAAGCAGCACCCACCAGCTACACCAGCTTTGGGAATATTGTGGCTGCTTTGGAACGCTGGAAAAAGATAACGGGTGTCTCTGTTGTGAGAAGGAAACAAATTACTGTACGCTTATCAGTGGATGTCACCTGCTGGCAGGAACGAGATAGGCAGATCAAAAAAAAAAGAAAAGAAAAGAAAAAAGGAGAAGTTCACTGGGCTCTGAGCTGGCAGGCAAGGTTGGCAGCTATCAGGAAAGTAAGAAAGTTTCAATGTTCTGGGACACATGAGGAAGGGCCAATGTTCCTAGGTGTCACTGGTTTCCAGGCACCACTCACCTGTAGCTCCTAGAAGCTATCAGCATGTGGCAGCAGCCACACCTCGGGAACGGCTTTGACTGGCCCGCTTACCCAGGTGAGAGTAGCTGATGGGTCTCAAACCCTCGGTGAGTTTCGGACTTCCCTTGCATGTGGAGACAGGCTCTGGCCGATTGAGCAGACAAGACCAATAGTGGGTCCAATGGTCAAGAAGGCAGTTTCTGCACATGCGCTGTAGAGGGAAGTGAGGGGCAGACAGGGCTCATCAACCTGGGAAGGTAGCCCACCTAGGAGAAGGAAAACTCTGGTCCTAAACCTCCTCTGCCTTGCGGGACATCTTCAGAAGAAGAAAAGGCTAAGGAGTAAACTCTACACAAACCTGGAGTGGAGTCCCTAAAACATGGGTGGGCAAACTAAGGCCCGGGGGCCAGATCTGGCCCAATCGCCTTCTAAATCCGGCCCACGGATGGTCTGGGAATCAGCGTGTTTTTACATGAGTAGAATGTGTCCTTTTATTTAAAATGCATCTCTGGGTTATTGGTAGGGCCTACCTAGTGTTTTTACATGAGTAGAATGTGTGCTTTTATTTAAAATGCATCACTGGGTTATTTGTGGGGCATAGGAATCTGTTCATTCCCCCCCCAAAAAAAATATAGTCTGGCCCCCCACAAGGTCTGAGGGACAGTGGACCGGCCCCCTGCTGAAAAAGTTTGCTGACCCCTGCCCTAAGATGTTTGGATGGCGCTTTGTGCTCCTCCTTCTGACAACTACTGCAGCCAAGCTGGTGAAAAACATATTGCTTTGCTTTCCTTTGGACCACATCAGTGAGGCCAAGAAGGGGGGCGGATCTTGTCGTCTGAGCAGCCCAGGACCTGCGTGCACATTGCCTCCCAGGCTTGCACCCCGGGGGAGGTCACTTCAGTGTTGCTAATGCAGCTGTTAGACTTCACCCCCGGAGGCGCACTCTACAGTGGTGCCTCGCAAGATGAAATTAATCCGTTCCGCGAGTGTCTTCGTCTAGCGGTTTTTTCGTCTTGCGAAGCAACCCTATTAGCGGCTTAACGGATTAGCGCTATTAGCGGTTTAGCGGCTATTAAAGTCTTATCGGATTAGCGGATTAGCTGCTAAAAGGCTATTAAAGGCTTAGCAGCTTAGATAAAGGGGGGGGGAAGCGAAAAAAAAATCTCAAGACTCGCAAGACATTTTCGTCTTGTGAAGCAAGCCCATAGGGAAATTCGTCCTGCGAAGCAACTCAAAAATGGAAAACCCTTTCGTCTAGCGGGTTTTCCGTCTTGCGAGGCATTCGTCTTGCGGGGCACCACTGTATTCTCTCTTGAGGCAGACAGGTGCCAGCAATTTTGATGCACAGACTCCGCACCCACCCACCACAGCAGATGAGACATTCAGAACAGCTTTAATAATAATAATAATAATAATAATAATAATAATTTTTATTTATACCCCGCCCTCCCCAGCCAAGGCTGGGCTCAGGGCGGCTAACAAGCAATAATAAAAACAAATTGAATTAATACAACTTAAAAACAAGATTAAAATACATCAATAAAATATTGAAACATTAAAATATTAAAATGCAGCCTCATCACAGGGGAAGGAAAAAGAAAGAGGGGGAGGGAATCAAATTGGCGCCAAGCCAAAGGCCAGGTGGAACAACTCTGTCTTACAGGCCCTGCGGAAAGAAATCAGATCCTGCAGGGCCCTGGTCTCATGAGGCAGAGCGTTCCACCAGGCAGGAGCCAGTGTTGAGAAGGCCCTGGCTCTGGTTGAAGCCAATCTAACTTCTTTAGGGCCCGGGACCACTAGGGTGTTGCTATTTATGGACCTTGAGGCTCTCCGTGGGGAATACCAGGAGAGGCGGTCCCGTAGGTACGAGGGTCCTAGGCCGTGAAGGGCTTTAAAGGTCAAAAGCAGCACCTTAAATCTGACCCTGTACTGCACCGGGAGCCAGTGCAGCTTGAAAAGCACTGGGTGAATATGCTCCCATGGCAGAGACCCTCTGAGGAGCCTCGCTGCAGCATTCTGCACCCGCTGGAGTTTCTGGGACAGCTTCAAGGGCAGCCCCGCGTAGAGCGAATTACAGTAGTCAAGCCTGGAGGTGACCGTCGCATGGATCACTGTGGCCAGGTCAGGGCGGGAAAGGTAAGGGACCAACTGCTTGATGTGGCGAAGGTGGAAAGTTTTGCAGAACTGGTTTCCTTTGGGAGAGAGTATTGGAGCCTTCTGGTTTATTTGTTAGCACCGGCTCATTTTCAGGTTGAGAAGGAATCACTGCAGGCTTCAGGGATTCCAGCAAGCTCCATACCCACTTGGTGCTTCTGCCCAGCCTCTGTGGAAAACTAAGACAGGGGGCAGTGGGTGTGGAGGACTCCCTGGTCCTGAATGGGGTAACTGTGCCCCTGAAGGACCAGGTATGCACCCTGGGAGTCATTTTGGACTCACAGCTGTCCATGGAGGTGCAGGTTAATTCTGTGTCCAGGGCAGCTGTTTACCAGTTCCATCTGGTACTCAGGCTGAGACCCTACCTGCCCGCAGACTGTCTCGCCAGAGTGGTGCATGCTCTAATTATCTCCCGCTTGGACTACTGCAACGCGCTCTACGTGGGGCTACCTTTGAAGGTGACCTGGAAACTGCAATTAATCCAGAATGCGGCAGCTAGACTGGTGTCTGGGAGTGGCCGCCGGGACCACATAACACCGGTCCTGAGAGATCTGAATTGGCTCCCAGTACGTTTCTGAGCACAATTCAAAGTGTTGGTGCTGACCTTTAAAGCCCTAAATGGCCACGGTCCTGTATACCTGACAGAGAGTCTCCACCCCCATTGTTCAGCCCGGACACTGAGGTCCAGCTCCGAGGGCTTTCTGGTGCTTCCCTCACTGCAAGAAGCCAAGTTACAGGGAACCAGGCAGAGGGCCTTCTCGGTAGTGGCGCCCGCCCTGTGGAACTCTCTCCCACCAGATGTCAAGGAAATAAGCAACTATTCTATTTTTAAAAGACATCTGAAAGCAGCCCTGTTTAGGGAAGTTTTAAATATTTAATGCTCTGTTGTTTTTAATATTTGATTGGGAGCCGCCCAGTGGCTGGGGAAACTCAGTCAGATGGGCAGGGTATAAATAATAAATTTATTATTATTCATTATTATTAAGGGTGGAATCCTGCACTGCAGATATGCCAACTGAGGGGCTATAGCAGGAATGTGGGACCCAGGATTGGCTAGGGCTGCTGGAAGTTGTAGTCTAAAACAGTAGGAAGGGTCCAGGTTGATGAAGGCTAGCCTGTAGAGTATGGCGGAAGAATTGTTAATAATAATAATAATAATAGTAATTTATTACTTACTCTGGGCGGCTTCCAACAGAATATTAAAAACACGATAAAATATCAAACATTAAAAACTGCCTTCTAATGTTTTCTAAAAGTCAAGACAATTATCTATTCCTTTGACATCTGATGGGAGGGCGTTCCACAGGGCGGGTGCCACTACCAAGAAGGCCCTCTGCCTGGTTCCCTGTAACCTCACTACTTGCAGTGAGGGGACCGCCAGAAGGCCCTCGGCGCTGGACCTCAGTGTTCGGGCTGAACGATGGGGGTGGAGACGCTCCTTCAGATATTCTGGGCTGAGGCCAGCCGTGTTGTTTTAGAAGATTTACACCCCACTTTTCAGCTAGAATCCTCAAAGAAGCTAGCAAGATTTATAAAACACAACAGAGATGCCCCAAGAACCACATGTTCTCTTACATACAGACTAAAACAACCAGCCCCACAGAACCAGCAGTGCCACAACAATTCTACAGCCCCACAATCTTTCCAGAAATACATATGCATAAGCAGCATTAATCTGCCAGATTTCTTTGAGTCGTGGGATCTGTAAAACAATTGAGAGTTCTTTGTTTTGCAAACTGGATATTTTTAGATCTTCCTTTTAATCTCTGTCTTCCCACATACTTGGTTCCCCTCCAGTTATCCGAGTGCACACACTCCTGGCCTTGAAAGGACGATGACTAACTGCACATCACTGCCTCCCCTTTTCTTTTCTGTGGATCCCTGTATAAAAATAAAAAAGGTAAAGATAAATACTGGGGATTGCATCCGACGTTAGACCCACTGAATATAATAGACACAATCAACTTAGGTTAATTAATTTCATCAGGTCTGCTTCAACGTCACACTCATGCCATGCAGTTAAAGGGCTTTCATACCACTTTAAACAGTCTGGGAAATGTAGTTTTTTAGGGGTGTTGAGAATTGTTAGAAGCTTCCTATTCCCCTTTCAGAGATCCAATTGTCAGAGCTGCCTGGGAAGAAGGATTGATTGGTTAAACCACTTCTGGGAGGGGACCAGGAGTCTCCTCTGAGCACCCTTAAACTACAGCTCCCAGAATTCTTTGCAGGAAGCCACAACTGTTTAAAGCGGTATCATAGTTGTGAATGTGGACCGTGAGTCCCCTTGGTACAGTTTCAGCTCAATGGCCCCCTTCCCGTTCTTTTCCTATAACATATAGATTTGATGAAGCAGCTTCTGTTGTGACAGGAAATGGACACGGACAATTTAGCTGCAAGTCTCCAGCTCACCACCGAGCAAAAGAACAAAGAAGCACCGCCTGAGGTATGAGCAAAACCCACACATTCGCTTGTCAAACCCTCGTTTCATCAATGCTCCATGTGGACTGACTATTATTAATCACCACCTGCTTTTCAGAGGGCAAAGGGCCTGTTTCAAAACTTCCTCAGGAGAAACTTGCGGAAGTGGTGTCTCTCATTTTGCAGATAAAGGAGCTGGAGTTTACACACAGAGACCTAGAGCAGGAATTAGGCCTTGCATCTCTCGGTCGCAAAACCGAGGTCCACTCTTAGTTTGCACGTGCTGAGTGCAAAGAGGGATTTACACCACAGCTGGGGTCTAGACCAAACAACTGCATTGGATGAAATAGCACCCACTAACTTGGGCAAAATGACCCCTTATACTTGAAACCTTACGTAAGCACTAGCTAGATTAGCAAGGAAATTCATCCAGGTACGGAGACTCAATGTGCCTAAATGGGAAGGAGAAGCAGGCTAGGAGTGGAGTGCAGTGGTCTTGTTCATGGTCTGTATTTTTTAAGCTCAGTGGCAAAGAACCTGTCTTAGAGCGCTTCTGCCAGTCAGAGTTTACCGTACTGGGTTGGTTGAACGAACGGTTTGACAGCACAAGGCAGATTCATATGATATGAGCTGGTTGCACACAGACACACAACCCACCAAGTGTACAAGGAGCAAGGGTGTTGTCTGTGGGCTGCAAAGGAGAGCTATATGCATGGGACGCTTTCTCCAGGTGCCAACTCTGACATCATTCCCAGCCAGGCAGGGGGCTTGCTGTTTGATTTTATGAAGTGTTACAAAGCCATGTTGGAGTGGATTGTTTTATGGGGAAGAAAAACATACAATAAATGCAAAAGCATACAGTGGTACCTCGGGTTACATATGCTTCATGTTACATATGCTTCAGGTTACAGACTCCGCTAACCCAGAAATAGTACCTCAGGTTAAGAACTTTGCTTCAGGATGAGAACAGAAATCGTGCTCCGGCGGCGGGGCAGCAGCAGGAGGCCCCATTAGCTAAAGTGGTGCTTCAGGTTAAGAACAGTTTCAAGTTAAGTACGGACCTCCGGAACGAATTAAGTACTTAACCTGAGGTACCACTGTATGTGGTTTTGCATTTCATGTATATCAGCTGTACATTGTGCATCGCCTTGAGATTATTTACGGAATGCGATGAATTAATCACAATTAATTGTTATTATCGCCAATAATGCCACATGTAAATGTTTGGTCAACCAAGCTGGAAGTGTGAATGGGTCCAGGCTGGCAAGCAAATTCTCTTGGCAGCCATTGTTAGTCCAAATGCACTCCAGAAGCAGGCCTGAGAAGGGAGAGGCAGCTGGATAGGACAGGCTAGCCAAATAATAAAATTGCTCTTGACAAATAGGTGATGAGGTTGAATGACATAATTATAGAATTAAAATAACTACAGTGGTACCTCGGGTTACATACACTTCAGGTTACATACGCTTCATGTTACAGACTCCGCTAACCCAGAAATAGTACCTCGGGTTAAGAACTTTGCTTCAGGATGAGAACAGAAATTGTGCTCCGGCGGCGTGGTGGCAGCAGGAGGCCCCATTAGCTAAAGTGGTGCTTCAGGTTAAGAACAGTTCAGGTTAAGAACAGACCTCCAGAACAAATTGAGTACTTAACCCTAGGTACCACTGTTGGGATACTGCCAGGGAGACAAAGTCCATCATGGCCCCCAAGCCGCCTCCGGACGATCCATCGATCTCCCGTAGATACAGTATCAGCAATTAGCGACACGAGCTCCAGAAATAGCCTGCCACATTCCAGAACTCATGCACGCTCTATCAGCAGATAATGCACAGCAAAAGTTGCACGCAGGAGAGCATTATTTACAAGTTTTATTCAGCGTTGATCAGAACAAAGAAAACATGACTGCCAGCTTCAGTGTCTACAGACACAGAGAGAGCGAAAGCAAAGACACAACAGAAACATCCTGTGAAACAGGAAATACGCAGGCTGTGTGACTCACAAAGCCTGCTCCCCTTCAAGGTGGAACGGAAATATCCTAACAACCACTGTATATGTACACAATGAAGTGGAGAGGACAAACCAAAGCGATGGCTTTTTATAAAACCTGACACCAGTTCACCACAGTGCTGCTCCTGGGAATGACATATTGACTCAAATAATGTTTGCCACACAGGTTTCCTCCTACCTAATGGAGCTATTGCTAAATAGCCGTATTTTCTTCCGGTTGCCTAATTATTATAATTACCACAGTGTTATAATTGTTCTGATTATGATCATTACAAGCGCGTGTCAGGGTTCAGGGTGTCCTATGATTCTTGTCTTGTGTTCTCTGGTGTGCAGGACATTGTTGGGTGTTGCGTGTGTGTTACAGATGTTCAGCTGAGCTGTCAGGCTCGCCGCAGGAAACAATTGTGTAGCGGAGGTAGCTTTTACTTAGCATACACAAGCACACACACAATATACGCACACTATTTACAGTTGCTACAAGAAATTCTAGTCCTGCAAGTGCCAAGAGTTCTCAGAGTCCAAGAAGCCTTGCAAGTCGTCCATCTTCTCTCAGACAAGCTCTTCTCAAAGCCTTACACATTTTCACAGGTTATTTCCAAGAGTTTCCAGTCTCCCAGCAGATTATCCTGTACTCCACAACAATGAATGCTGTAATTTGACTCTTTAGCTACCCAGTGCTATGTGCTATTTTGTCCAGCGACTCAGATAAGACAGTCACAAGATGCCTGCAGCTGTACTGTGGGAGGGGAAAACCCCATTTCTGCAGACTGGTGGAGAATTAACCATTTTTTCACTTTCCTTAACAGTCATGAGCATGTACAGTCATACCTCGGGTTGCGAACACTGCGGGTTGCGTGTTTTCGGGTTGCGGACACGCCGAACCTGGAAGTACTGGAACGGGTTACTTCCGGGTTTCGGTGCTCGCGCATGCACAGAAACACAATATCACGCTTTGCACATGCACAGCAGCGCCGAATCGCGTCATGCGCATGCACAGATGCAGCGCTGCGGGTTGCGAACATGCCTCCCACACGGATCACGTTCACAACCCGAGGTTCCACTTAATATGCCTTGTACAGGCCTCTTCTTCTTCCTCTTCTTCTTCTTCTTCTTCTTCTTCTTCTTCTTCTTCTTCTTCTTCTTCCTTTGCGATCACTCGTAGCCGAATAAGATTGTCTTCCATAAACACGGTTTTAACAATGAGTCCGTAAGTGACTGTGGAAGCCGATTCTGGATCCACACGTTCTTGCACAGTGGGGACATTGGTTTCCGGGCGGGAGTTGATAATCCAGTCAGGGAAAAGGGGAGGCAGACTATGTTTAGGGCACCTTTTCTAGCCCCTCCCCCTTTTAGGGGTGAGCAGAGTGGATCCTAAAAAGGGCTTCTCAGTCATAGATACAGCTGCCGAGCTGCTCAACTGCCTCGTTCCTTGAGTCAGAATTACTGAATCTGTATCTACCGCCAATGTGCCGGTTCATGACTAGGGTCTTCCAGATTTTACGATCCTGCCCCTGTTACCATTTGTCGATCGCCATGGGCCTTTTGGGGTTTGGGTTGGGTTTTTGGAAGACGCCTGTGCGTGAATTTGTTTTATGTGTGTAGATCAGTGCACGCTGACCAACGCACAGTCTTCGCAGTAGGGCTCTGTTCTGATGGCGTGAAGTGGTCACGACAAACCGATAGATTCCTATCTGCTGCAGCCTTCACAACCGTTGTAACATACCACTTGTTATCATCCGCCCGTTCTGCCATTGAGGACTTCTTGGATCATTCTTTGTCTAGCTCCTTCCCTTTGACCTTACCGCCTTGGGTGACCCTGCTGGGAGTACGAGATTCCCGACGGCTTCGCTCACAAGGGTCATAGGAACATGCAAGCCCAATCAACACAACAAGGTGATGATCCAGTGAGTGGGGGTATTCACTGTGTCACCCTTGTACTGGTGCCTTATGCTGGGAGTTGTGTTGCCCTGGCATAAGATAGGGTTGTCATACGTCTGGACATAGCTGGGATTCACCCGTCAAAAATGGCATCTGGGTGAAATTTTCAAAAATCAGTTGAAATGTCCGGGGAAAACCCAGGCAATATGGTAGCTCATATCGGAAGTGTCCGGATTTTCACTTCTTGAAATATGGCAGTCCTAGCATAAGATACTTAAGTTGTGCATCTACAGTGGTACAAGTATACGAGACCCAAAATGGTGTGACCAGATGACTTGACATCCTGCTCATCATTCCAGGATCGTGGCTATCCCTGAAACACAACAGCAGCCATCTTGATGAGACCATAGGATCAGGGTGGAAAGGTGCAATTGCATTCCTATTACAGTTGCACCTTGGATATCGAACGCCCTGGAATTCAGACATTCTGGCTCCCAAACGCCGCAGACCCAGAAGAGATTGTTCCGGTTTGCAAATGTTCTTTTTGAACCCGAACTTTCGACGGGGCTTTTGCGGCTTCTGATTAGCTGCAGGAGCTTCCTGCAGGCAACCAGAAGCCGCGATTTGGTTTTTGAATGTTTTGGAAGTTGAATGGACTTCTGGAACTGATTCCGTTCGACTTCCAAGGTACGACTGTACATTGAAAGTCTCAGTGGAATCAGTAAATGAGTTTAGGTTAAGAGCAGAGAGTTGAATAGAGACAAAGGTACACCATGATCAATAGCTCACACCCAGTACTGATTCAGGACTTTGAGCTAACAATCATTTCTTGTTCAGTGTTACTAATTCCCAGCTACCCCTCTCCCAAATTGTTTTCCCTTGTCAGCTACCTCCCATATTCCTCAGCCTTGTAGCAGATCCCCCCCCAAATCATGGGAACTGTAGTTTCCCCCAAGAGCTACAATTCCCAGCACCCAAAACAAATTACAGCTCCCAAGATTCTTGGAGAAGTCAGGTGCTTTAACTGTGTGTTGGATGTGCTTTAAATGCATGGCATGGATCTGCCATTGGTTAATTGGAAAAGTAGCTGTATATTTGTTGGCTTTAAGAAGTTATGTTTCCCCTCCTCATCCTGCCTTCTTGTATTAAGACTTCTTATTTTGCCTTTAGTTGAGCCCTGTACCTCATTCTGAAGGCACCTCAAAATACAATGAAGATTTTTTCTCTGGGCTAAGCCCAGAAGAGAAGGAATGTCTAGAGAACTTGCTGCAGACAATTGACTCCTTGGATGAGGACCTTTTAGATGATGATGATGAAGAAGAAGAAGGAGGAGGAGGAGGAGGAGGGAGTCATCAGGAATTGGCAGAACCACTAGGTGAGATGAAATCAAACCCATTAACAAAGATTTGTGGACATCTTCTAGAAAATGTAGAACTACAACTCCCATCAACCCTAGCAAACATAGCCAATTGCCAGGAATTATGGGAGCTGTAGTCATTTTCAGCGTCTGCGCATGCATGAGCGGCAAAACCCAGAAGTAACCCTTTCCAGTACTTCCGGGTTGCCGCGGGACGCAAGCTGAAAAGATTTAACCTGAAACAAATGTAACAAGAGGTATGACTGTAGATGGGTGCATCTCTGTCGCACACACATGGCCCCAAACATGGATCATTCCCTATTAAATCAGCTTTCCCCAGCCTGCTGTCCTTCACATGTTTTGAACTACAACTCCCATCATCCCCAGCAAGTCAAGTGGCAATGGGCAGTGATGATGGGAATTGTAGTCCCAAACTTTTAGAGGGTACCAGTTTTGGGAATCCTGCTTTAGATCTGAAATCCAGTCATCATCGGCCCTCTGCTTTCTGCCTTCATGCTTGATGTGCTTACTGCGGGAACCATTCACATAGCTGCAGCAAATGCATTTGCCACAACCGTTTCGTTGAGGTGGACCATATCTGGCTGGGCTGGAAGGGAGAGAGTTCTTAAGGAAACCTCCAACCTCTTTCCTTAGAATCATAGAATTGTGGAGTTGGAAGGAATCCACAAGGTTGATCTAGCAGTGCAGGAATCTCAGCTGAAGCATTTGTGACTTTCTGCAGTCAACTTTCCTCACTCACGTTGGTTGTGTGTGCAGGTGCTGAAGACCAATGCAAGGACAGTGTTGACTCCAGGATGCTTCAAAGTACGTCTGTGGAGGCAGCCTCAGCCAAGCCCAGTTCTCCTCGCCCTGCCCTTTCCAAGATTAAAATGACCAAGTCCCTTTCGGAGGAATCAGCTGGCATCACTCCAAGGAGGAGCAGGCCCAACCCTTCTTCTCCCAAATCCAAAGGGCCTCATAGATTGGCGGAATCTCACCCTGCTTACTTCAGGAAGTTTGACACAATAATGAGGTCAGGAGTCAACGTCCAAGAGCTTCGTTCTCGCTTCCTCCACCACCTTGACAGCTCCACTGCTGTCAGAGGGCCAACAGAGGATGCTGTGGGAACAGATAAGCATCCGTTGCCATTGCCTGGAGGCCAGAGGTCCCCTAGGGATGAAGCCCTGCAGAAGTTGGGCCTCTTCCAGAGAATTTCTAGCGTTCCGAATATGAAAAGTCCTCTGGTGCCCATGGTGGGCCAGCAGGCCCAGGATTCACCGGCCAAAAGTCTGAACCTCGATGGAATGGCAGGCTCCATCAACACCATGGAAAAGCATGTGAAATATTGCACACACCCCAATCTCTGAGAGGTGAGAGACTCCAGGCGTTCCAGCCCTGACCCAGGTTTTGGTTTCCTTGGAATGAAGGCCAGTGGAGACTGATGTCTTTAGGATGTGTGGTTTTATTTGCACATATATACAGCCTAAGCATAGGATGGAGGGACTCACAGCATTAACAGTCCAACAGATCTTGCTTCCCCCTTAGGTTTCCAGAGAAGACCCAAAGTGACCAGTTTGGGCCCCACGCACAGAGCAAGACCTGTCTCTGTCTCTCCAGCTTCCAGCCTCAGATAAAACTCACCCACCAGAACCAACTCCCCTGGCTTATCGCTCCCCTTCCTAGGATGACATGGCATCCAGCCAGGTGAAGTCGGAAATGGCCCACCCATTTGTATCCATGGCAGTCTCTTAGGACATGTAAATGACAGTGCTTCAGGGCTGGATTAGGACCTTTAGAGGCCCTAGACACTTAAGAGGTTTTGGTGCCCCCTTATATATCTAATTCAAAACATAAACAATGATAAAACCATAAAATTCAGTTTTATTTTTTGAAATGAAATGAAGCCTACAGTAATATGGAAAACAATGTTTATTTTTGTATACTTCCACTTTATTTATATTTGAAAAAAATTCTCCTGTGTTTTCTAATGCAAAGTGTTTGATAAGATCTTCATTCAATAATCATTAATCTATTTTTACTATGTTGATATTATTTTTTATTATTGTGTATACATAGATATGTATTTCTTTCAATTATTTTGGAGGCTTTTCTTTGTGGAACCTGGACAAATTTGGTCCATGGTAAATCCAGCAATGGGAAATTTCCATGGTGCCCCTTTTCCCTCGATTCCCTAAACACATGTGCATTTTGCTTAATGGTGAATCCAGCCCTGCGGGTGCTTAACAGTCCAGCCAAGGCCATTATGTTGTCTGACCAGTTCAGCGGCCTCTTCTACTAGATTCTAAACCTCCCCAGTGACAGAATCGCTGGTTCAGAAGAGACTCTCGACTATCCCCAAGACTGACCCCCTACAAACCTACAGCAATAACAATGGCTACTGTTCAAGTACTTTCTTAGGTGCGGTTGGGCCAAAAGGCGGGTTGCAGAAAGAAAACGGACCTGCAGAGTCCCAAGAGGCTCTTTGCAAACCCCGTCCATTAGCTGAGAAAACAAAAGGCGTGGGCTCCTCTGGTGTCAAAGAGAAACCTCCAAGTTGCTTCTGCATACCCTGAACAGCCTCTTTCTGCAAGATAGCCTGTAATTAGTGCAGAGAGGCAACTCAATAAGCAAGACACAATGTATGATAACACATTTGATATTTTTAGCCTTTCTCATCCTTAAGGAGCTACTCCCTGATAGTCCGTTGAGGTGGGCTGTGTGAAAGTGTTGGATTTCATTGCTAGACTTCACGATGCCTGACATGTTTAGTGTTGATTTTTGTTCTGTTTTCATTTTGCATGTGCTCGTACCCATATGCCGTTGGTTAGCCTTCCAGTCCAGAGATTTGTGTACAGCTTGTTTTCCTCCTTCTTGTTGTGGAATAATAAAATCTGCAATCATTGTGGCCAAAGATTTATCTTCTGATTTGTTCTTATGTGGAGATTGTATTTGGCAGAAGGGATTCTCTAGCATTAATTGGTACATGTGGGTGGCAGAAATCAGAAGTAAAGGAAAATGTCCCTAGTCCAGTTGTTTTATTTATAATTAAACACACAAGAGACAGAGATTAGCCTTGCTAATATGAAGATATTAAGGTTTTTCTTTACTTCTGCTTTTTGTCTTATGAGGGACCCACATGTTTTAATTAGTGCTAGAGATAAAGGTAAAGGGACCCCTGACCATTAGGTCCATTCGTGGCCAACTCTGGGGTTGCGGTGCTTATCTCACTTTATTGGCCGAGGGAGCCGGCGTACAGCTTCCGGGTCATGTGGCCAGCATGACTAAGCCGCTTCTGGCGAACCAGAGCAGCGCACGGAAACGCCGTTTACCTTCCCGCCGGAGTGGTACCTATTTATCTTCATGCACTGGCGTGCTTTCGAACTGCTAGATTGGCAGGAGCAGGGACCGAGCAGCGGGAGCTCACCCTGTCACAGGGATTCAAACTGCCGACCTTCTGATCGGCAAGTCCTAGGCTCTGTGGTTTAACCCACAGCGCCACCCGCGTCCCTAGTGCTAGAGATACATCCATGTAATTGATAATTTTTACATGCTCAAAAGGTATTATGGAATTGTAGAGTTGGAAGAGACCTTGAGGGTCACACAGTCCAACCACCTTGCAATGCAGGAATCTCAGCTAAAGTATCCATGACAGATAGCCATACAACCTCTGCTTAAAAACCTCCAATAAAGAAGAGTCCACCATCTTTCAGGGATATCCGTTCCACTGTCAAATACCTCTTATCATCAGAAAGTTTTTCCTGATGTTTAGTTGGAATCTCCTTTCTTTGTAATTTAAATCCCTTGGTTTGGGTCCTACCTTCCAGAGCAGGAGACAACAAGCTTGCTCCATCGTCCATGTGACAAACCTTTAGATAATTGAAGATGGAGAGCACAATATTTATATATTCAATACGTTCTTACTCCAAGCAATCTTTGGTGCAATTTGATTATATTTTTGCACCTAGCAAGTCTAACCCAATTAACTTCCCAATTTGTTTGTTTCATTTATTTTATTTTTATTTATTTATAATATTTTTATTAAAGTTTTCTTGACTTACAAAGGTATGCACAATGTCTCATTTTTCAAGTTGCATTTCCCATAGGTCAGTTTCATTTGCCCTTCATTCAAAAAGCTCAGGGGTGGAATAAATTGTCCTCCCCTCCGTTTTACCCTCACAACAACCCTGTGAGATGAGATAAGCTGAATGATGTGCATGTTCACTTACTGCAGCCTTTGTCTGCATGAAACCTTCGCCATTTTCTCTTAATAGTGTAATGCTGTGCATGTTTACTCAAAGATAATTCCCACCGTGTTTAGGACTGCAGCCTGAGAGTACAAACAGCAGACACTTTTCTCCTCCTCCTCTGGGGTTGCGGTGCTCATCTCGCTTTACTGGCCGAGTTGTACAGCTTCCGGGTCATGTGGTCAGCATGACTAAGCCGCTTCTGGTGAACCAGAGCAGCGCACGAAAATGCTGTTTACCTTCCCACCAGAGCGGTACCTATTTATATACTTGCACTTGGTGCTTTTGAACTGCTAGGTTGGCAAGAGCAGGGACCGAGCAACGGGAGCTCACCCCGTCGCGGGGATTCGAACTGCCAACCTTCTGAGTGGCAAGCCCTAGGTTAAATTCCACTGCATTGTTGCATCTAACATGTTGCTTAGGCTGTACAACTGATGTGCCTTCAAAGCTGGAAATTATCCCATGCAAACAAAAAGGGCAAACAGAACAAAAAGGTCTCATGTCACCGTAAAGGCCAGATCGTTTATAATGATGTAAGCTTTTGTGAACTAGAGTTCACGTTATCAAATGCATGATGTCCTAAATTGCTCACATATTGGTGGAGGAATTGTAAATAGTGAAGTCAGGGAAATTATTTTTTTGCAGCAAAAGCAACAAAGATCCTTGTGGCAGCTTAGGTAAAGGTAAAGGGACCCCTGACCATTAGGTCCAGTTGCGGACGACTCTGGGGTTGCGGCGCTCATCTCGCTTTATTGGCTGAGGGAGCCGGCGTACAGCTTCCGGGTCATGTGGCCAGCATGACTAAGCTGCTTCTGGCGAACCAGAGCAGCGCACAGAAACACCGTTTACCTTCCTCCAGAGTGGTACCTATTTATCTACTTGCATTTTTACATGCTATCGAACTGCTTAAAGACTAACAAATATATTATGGCAAGCTTCTGTAGGCTAGAGTTAGGAATTCATTAGCTGAATGAATTTTTATATCCTGGGCTATAGGTTCATATAGACATGGTTGCTGGGTGTGGGTGTATGTGTATGTGTGTGAAAAAAGGACGTTCAGAGGGACTAAACTGAGAGATTATTAGCTCATGCCTGTGCCTTGTGAATCATCACTGTTAAGTATGTTATTATCACTGTGCGTTGGTTTTGCGCATTTCATTTCCCTCCTGCTTCACCTTTAACAATCCCTCTCTTTCGCAAGCCACACTCCTTTGAATTGTAAAGTGCAGTTCTTCAGCCAAGTAACGGGCACAACAAATATGCATACACCAGATAAAGTGTGCTTACAAATACACATCTTCATAAAAGTAATATTAAAAAATGTATTATGTTAGGGAAAGCTGTTTTGCAAAAATGTGTTTATTAAGCAAGATTGCATAAGGTGCTGTATCTTTTGCTCTATAAGACTCACTTTTTCCCTCCTAAAAAGTAAGGGGAAATGTGTGTGCGTCTTATGGAGCGAATGCAGGCTGCACAGCTATCCCAGAAGCCAGAACAGCAAGAGGGATTGCTGCTTTCACTGTGCGGCGATCCCTCTTGCTGTTCTGGCTTCTGAGATTCAGATTTTTTTTTTCTTGTTTTACTCCTCCAAAAACTAGGTGCGTCTTGTGGTCTGGTGCGTCTTATAGAGCGAAAAATACGGTAAATGTGTGCATTAGGAAATATTTGCACTAAAATGGTGGTGAGTTTTCCTAAGGACTACGCAGAGAGAGAGAGAGAGAGATGCAGAAATGTGGAGAGCTGAAAACTGGAAAAATGTGAAATAGATAATCCGAAGTCGACAGTTTTGCCCAGCAGTAGTGATGTATGGAAATGAAAGCTGGACCATAAAGAAGGCTGATCGCCGAAGAATTGATGCTTTTGAATTATGGTGCTGGAGGAGACTCTTGAGAGTCCCATGGACTGCAAGAAGATCAAACCTATCCATTCTGAAGGAAATCAGCCCTGAGTGCTCACTGGAAAGACAGATCCTGAAGCTGAGGCTCCAATACTTTGGCCACCTCATGAGAAGAGAAGACTCCCTGGAAAAGACCCTGATGTTGGGAAAGATGGAGGGCACAAGGAGACGGGGACGACAGAGGACGAGATGGTTGGATAGTGTTCCCGAGGCTACCAGCATGAGTTTGACCAAACTGCAGGAGGCAGGTGGAAGACAGGAGTGCCTGGCATGCTCTGGTCCATGGGGTTACGAAGAGTCGGACACGACTAAACAACAACAACAAGTGGCTGACCTTACAAGGTCTTGAAATAATATTACCTTAGTAGATATAGATACAATAACTGATTTTTAGGCTTCTTGCAGTCGCTGCATTTTTGGCTCTCTTCTGTAGCCTATTGCTGCTGGTGAGTTGCTGTGCTCAGTAGTAAAAGAAACATGCTTTGCACACAGATTATCTCAAAATTCAATCCCTGATATATTGGGTCAAAAATGGAAAGGACCTCTGGCTGTATCTCTGGAAAGCCACTGACAGACAGAGAGTAGATTTTTGTGTGAAAGGGCTGTGATGTCTGTTCTGGTACTGTACCTCTAAGTGTTAACTGAATCTAATTTCTCCCCCACCGCTAGTGAGTCTAGTACCCTCTAATAATCTCATGCATGTGGAAACTGCTGGATGAGCAAAACTGACTCTTGTATTGAAATAAAAATTATCCAGTCCAAAAATACGGTTCAAAAAGCTTTACTCACAGAACTTAACTTTAAACAATTTTAAACAAATAAAATTACATTCACTTAGTTGCTTATTCCTTACACAACTCCCAGCACGAGGCATAAAAACTTAGGTTACAAATAACTTGCATTCTGAGCTAAAATCAGAGCTCCAAGCTCTTATCCACTGCAGTCTCTTTCAGCCTCAGGCTGTTTTGCTGGAGACAGAGAAAGTCACATCCATTCTCTTCAGCAGCTTAGAACAAAGAGGCACCCAACATGGATCCCTATGAGTTAGCATATGCATAGACCTGAAATACAATCCTTTTCATGTGACTGCAAGCTGATGACCCTGTGGCTAAGCCACAGAGATACATCCCCACTAATGATTAACCAGGTAGGCTCTTCTCTAACTTCATGGAAATTTCCAACCATACTCCACAATATACCATACAGACGCATTATATATCTCCACTTTCAATGTGCGTTAAACAGTCATACTTAACACCCTCATCTAGACAGAGGCTAGTTACTCAGGTTTGAACATGTAAAGTCACAGAACAGCCATCACCAACTTGGTGCCCTCCAGATGTTTTAGACTACAACTCCCATGAGGGCTGATGGGAGTTGTAGTACAAAACATCTGGAGGGTGAAGGGAAGGAGGTTGGCAAAGGCTGACATACATATCTTCACATGTTCACAGGGAGCAAGAGGCAAGATTGTAGGTGTGAAGTGTCATCTACCTGCCAGACGGAATAATTTCCTGGTTGTGGGTGGCATGAGGGATGCTCTGTATGTGAGATAGGAACAAGGACATATACAACTGAACCATTTAGACGGCCAAACTGGAATCATAAATGAAAAAGCCACTGAGCTATTTTAATCTCTTCCTGTATGATTCTTCAGATCATGTTTTTGCCATACTTGAAATAAATAGGTTCCAATTTCTCTGCAGCTGAAGTTGGGGGAGAGCATTAAGGGCTCAATTTGTTCTGATACTCAGCCTCACAATCTGTTTTCCATGCCAGAGCTGGACCCTATCACATCATGACCTCGGAAGAGTTGGAAGTGATCCTGAGCAGACGTGAAGTGCACTTTTCTCGCCACTGACTAAATTAGAGAGTTGCCACACAGCAGAGATTAGGGGGCAGAAGGCATCCAAATCAGAGAGGTGCTGCTTGCAGTCAGACATAAAATCCATCTTTCATTTCTCTAGAAATTAGGCACTGGATAGCAAAGTGTGAGGAGCTTCTGAGATAACTGAGCAGATGTAGCCTTCCTAGACACATCAAGATCTTCTCCCTGCTCTGATTCCATTCAGTAGTCCTGTGGAACATTCCAGAAAACAAGGCTGGTATCAACACATCACATCTTTGTGCAGCTGCCAGGGACCCACCACTAGCAGGGCCCACTGCTGTTTTAATACCCCAGCAGGGGCTGGGTGGCCAAGTCTGGCTGCTGCTCAATTTCCCAGAATGCCCCTGACTCCAGGGCACACCAGGGCATTGTGGTGGATTGAAGCTTAACACTCACTGCACTAGATGCTATTGCCAGGAAAGCCTGTCAGGCTGGTAGCAAGTTCCCTAACCACAATCTGTGTACGAACAAACCTCAAGAATTGTAGGCCTGGCCCTTGGGAGAGCGGGAGAGCTGAGTAGTTTTTAATAATTTAGGGAGGCTTTCAGGAGCCACATCCTTTTTAAAATAATATTTCATCGATTTTCGAAAGTAGGTAACAATCAGAGTACAATAATGTGCTAAACAATGATCACCCCTCATTCCTCAACCTTCCTTCACCCAGAATGCATGTAGGACCAGAACATTAACCAAATGTGTGTTCTCCAGCCAAATCCTTCAATCTGTCTCCTCGAATGTTGCGTGGCCAACTCGCCAAGTAGTAATTATTTGACAGGCTTCCTTGCCTGAAAATTCCACCTAGGGCAGTTTAAAAATAATAAAATAAGACAAGCTGTGAATTCCCTGGTGCTGAATCACACTGAGTGGGATGTAAAATCTGTATTGACTAAGTAGCGCTTTCCGCCAGTTTCGTTTTAGAAGATGCCTTTAACCCACAGCTCCCAAAGCTTTGTCATCATCAAAAGTCTCCTGTAATCTAAAACGAAATAATCTGAACTTCCCCAAGACAAAACAAAGCTGACTCAGATGGTGGGGTTAAAAGTTCTCTCAAGTCAAGAGCTAAAGGTGTAAATATAAAAGAGAAAGAGGATGATATATGCTAATGCCCCAGCATTGCCCGGTGCCCATTGGGACTGGTGGAGAAGAAGACATGGAGGCCAGCCATGAGGGGAGCCAGAGCCAGTGACAGACGGAGCCAACTAAGTCTACGCTTGTTCATGTCTTCTTTCCCACCTGATGTCCAGTTCCTATCAGCCCCCACTATGGTTAGGGATGATGGGAGTCCATCAAAATCTGGAGGACACCATGTTGGTTGCCTCTGGGGTAAGGCAAACAGTAGGGGTAGCTGTTGCCCTCAGACTCTTCTGTGGGCTTTTGAGATTCATCTGACTGACCCTTTTTGAAACAGGATGATGGACTAGATTGATCTTTGGCCTGATCCAGCAGAGCTCTCTTTTTATCCTACTGAGGCGAAAGGAAAGGAGAAAAACTTGAGTCTGGATAGGGAGACAAACCACCCCTTTTGTAAACTGCCACCCATGGGAATATGGCTGCAGGGAGCGATAAACATACGATGAATAAATAAATGTGGGAAGTTCAACAGGCTCGTCTTTCCACATTTGACCTTAGCTGTTCATATCCCACAGTTTTGTTCCTGCTGCTATTTTTCTGGTGGGAGGGAGGAGCAAACATTGCCAGTTGACACGCTGGAAAGATCTTGGCAGTTAGGAGTTGCCTCAGGCAAGCAGACTGCCATTTTGAGGGTCTTGAAATATTCATGCTTCACAATTATTCTGGCTTTCCTATTAGCAGTCGGCCTAACTGGAGAAGACAGGGAGAGATGAGTCATGTTCTAAGAAGAACTTAGCCTTCCCTGGCAGCTCAAAATTAATTTAGGTGGAGGTTTCAGTGTCACACACCCTGCAACATTTCACAGCTGGAAACAAGGACACAGTTAATGCCTCTTTTCTCAATCCCAAGGCGGACCACCTGCCCCAAGACAAGCTCCCCGCAGCACTTCATCAATTACAAATTACTGCAGCCTCTTCTCTGATTTAACGCCATGTGAGAGTGTTTGTTCCTTGGATTAATGGTATTATTTTGATTAAAGAACATCTGAATAGCCCAACAACGTTATCAACCGCCCCAAATATATGAGCCATTTCAGTGTGTACATTGGCAGGCTGCACAGTGCCTTGTTGTTCATATGTGTCCAGGGATGCAGGTGGCGCTGTGATCTAAACCACTTGTGCTTGCCGATCAGAAGGTCGGTGGTTGGGAAGTCGCTCAGTGAATTGATTCCATGAGTCCCCTGTCTGTCCAGTGGAATTAGTAAAGTTATTCCTGAGTCATTCTAGTCAGCCAAAGCTTTAATGAACATTCTGAAATTACAGTCTGCCTTGTCCTCTATAAGAACACATCCTGCTCCCTATATGTTTATTCTTAACAGATCATTATTCATGCTTGTTATGTTCAAAGTACAGGTCCTCTCGTCCTGGGTTATAATTAAATCCATTTCCTCATTTGAGTGATCATAAATCAGTTTTCCTGTTACCAGTAATTTGTAACTTTTCCATTTCTGTAAACTATCGTTTTGTTATCTTTTATTATAGGAAACATCCCACCATTCATCATAACTGTGATATTGTGACTTGGGTGGTGTTTTTCCCCCTTCAAGTTATCTGTACAGTTTGAATGCTTCCAGAGGGAAGTTTATTGCGAAATTCGTGTTGCTCATGTCCACAAACCTTTTGCAGAATTCACATGATGTTATGTGTCATCAAAATACCAACCTGTGCTTTAAAAATAAAGAAATTAATAAAAATTCTCCTTGCTGCAAAAAATCCAATAAGTAAAAATAGTACATTTTTGGGGAGTGGGCAGTTTGTAATGTGAGGCAACATTTCAAATTATCTCGCCACACCAAACTTCTGTTTGCTCATCACCTGAGAACAACCTTTGTTTTCACTGGCTCCCAGCACCAAAGGAAAGAAACCCACTTCCACTGATTGACACATGCCCAGTTTACAGGAGATATTATTTAAGATATCTGCACAGTAAAAGTGGAGGACTACCTGGGCAACCACAATTGCAGCAGTGCCTAAAATTGATTTTTTAAAATAAATAAAAATGTGTGTTTTAAATAAACTTTATCACATTTGCACTCTTGCACAAGACTTCAGTATCACATAAAAAAAACAACCAAAAACCACACATATTGGAATGGATATTGCTTCCCCCACAAAAAAGCACAAGCTTCCAGTTTGCCTCTTGTGAAAGAGCAACTGGCTGGATAAGGCTGGTAATGTTTGCTGCAATTTTATTTTTTTAGAAAAACAAAGGTTTGTGTATACAGAGATACAGAAATACCTGTACATATGCCCAGAATGGAAAATGGTAGCAGAGACAAGGAAGGAGTGATTGGCGAAACTGAAAAACACAATTTGTATACACTCTGTCAAGCTTTGCCCATTGATATGGATGGCGGGTGACTAAAAAGCAATAAATATCCATGACTGAAAAAAACAAAAATGTGTGGAAACTGATTGGCCAAGCACTTACATGGAAAGATCAGATCTGAATGACCTGCTTTGTGATATAAGATCCCCATCAGGAATTACTGTCTGTTAAAAGTCTTAACTCGGTTCAGGGGCTTTGATTTTTGGTTACCGAAGTGCTGTGATAGCACACTAAACGGGACATCTCATTTGAATGTGAAAGGTGGTGGCTGGTGGTGGAGGACTGATTGAGAAGTCAAAATCAGGGGCCTGCCTTACATTTCAAAGCGATCACCACAAAACTCGAGCTTTCAGGAAACGAATCTTTAGAGGAATTTAGGGGAGAGTATTATTGTGGGAAGACTTGTTGGCCTTGGTTGTCCAGATGGGCAGGGTAAAAACAATAAATTATTATTATTATTATTATTATTATTATTATTATTATTGGTTGGAGGACATGGGGAATCTGAGAGAAGGGCAAAGAAAGCAGATGCAGCGCCGCTGAGAGAAATAATTTATTGGAGTTCATGGAAGAAGCACGCCAGGAATATTGCGGATTTGGAGAAGGGGGCTCCAAAAGTGCTTGGACATAGGAGGGGGATGGTGGAGAAGACTATGAACATTTTGAAATTAACTGGAAGTAATAGGCCACTGTGGTGCCTCAATGAGATGGAAGCCAAATGGTTAGCCAGTAACAGACGCGGCTTCAGCGGGATAGGCGGGGGTCTTTGGGTGGGCGTGGCCTCGCGGAGTGGGCGGAGCCACGGACGTGCCGCGTGGGCGTGGCCGGGAAAAAAGCGGCACGCGGCGGAGGGGGGGCGTTGCCCAGGTGATAAATCTGGATGGTGGGCGGGGCCGTCCTCGGCGGGGGCCGGAAGCGGAAGTGGCCTCGTATTTCCGGCGCTCCGCGGGCGGCCATGTTGCAGGGGCTGGAACGGCGCAGCGGCTTTTGCTGGGTCCCGCGGCGGCCGGTAGGTTGCGGGGCCGGCGCCGCCGGGCAGCGGCGCTGCAGTCGGGATTCGAACTCGGGCCTCGGGTGACTCCCTGCCCGGCTCCCAGCCCGCTCTCTCCCCCGCCCCCCCCCGCGTCGCCCGTCGCCCTTCTCCGTCCAGCCATGGGATGCCCCGCCCTTTGCTCCCTCCTTCCCCTCGAGGGGGAATCGCAGGACCGGCCCTCCGCCACTGGCTTTGCTGGTATCCTTTGCTGCAGCAGCCTCTCCCTTGCACCCACCCCCAGGGCCTTATCCCACCCCACCGAGCCCCGCCCGCCTTTTATTCCGGGGCTGCTTCTCTCTCCCCCCCCCCAAGATCTCGCTGGGAGACCCCCGATGTTGTGGCTCCAGTGCCTGCCGGCCCCGATCCTGCCCCTGCGACAGCTGCAGGGATGGATCCCGCCTTGCCCCTCCCAAACTCTGCTGCCACCGAGTAGGGCCGGGCTTAGGGGACCCGTCCTCGCCTTAGGAGAGGCTGTAAATCCAGCTTTACTTTACTCTCCGCTCCGCGTTTCAAACCTGCGTTGTTGCCCGAGGTTCCGTTTGTTACAAAGGTGGGGTGGGGTGGGGAATATTTGCTGCAGAAGCGGAGGGAGCCAGCTCTTTAAATGCCTGCTACCCTTTGCTGGCTTCCCTTGGAGTAGCCTCGGTCATGCTGGTATATCAGTCGTTTCCCCACACAATTTGCACCAAATATGTACATTCATGATAAGCATCTCAACAGGTAGCCGGATGCTACTGGAGCTCGTTTGGGATCAGTTAGGAGCGCAGGTTTATGTCCCAGTTCCTGGAGACTTTGTTGCGCTCTTCTGCAGGTGGCGTTTGTGGCTTTTTAAATGAGGGAAAACTAGTCCTGTGACAGCTACAGAAAAAGGATGCTCAGTGTGCACTCACAAACCAACCGTTACAAACTTTTTTGCAGCTCTCGGTCACTACCGTGAAATGTTTAAGATCCCCGACTCAAGATGATTGGAAACATTTGTTTAGGGTTATTTGCGTGTCCTCTTCCCAGCTAAGAAGCATATCTGGCAAAGTCGAAGGGAGCCAAGAGGCTATGTTTCTTTGTGGATACTTATTTTGTATATCGAAAAACAACTTTTAGCCTTCAAAGTTCTTGAAGAGGTTGACAAAATTAACAACTCGGTGTAGTTGTAGTCCCTAGCTTGTGTTCTAAAACAAAAGCTGGAAAAATAATACCAGAAGTAAGCATTACATTTATTACAGGTTACTATAATAAGTTCAAAGGCCATGAGTGAGTAATGGTTACTCATTAAAGCCAGGAATGGCCCAACCACACTTTTCTCTGCCTGGTCTCCTGTTCCAAACCTGTCATCCTAATGTAAATTCTGGGCTGTTCCTTCTTTTAAGGCCAGCCAATTTTCTTAAGATTTCTGATGCATGGTTTCTATTCCATTTATATGAGGATCTGAAACCTTTGCATGTTGCAGGTTTCCATTTCTGGTTTGTGGCCATTGACTCACGTGCTCATTTTCCTTAACACTGCATTCCTGTGCAGGTTCACTTTAAAGTAAATCCTCCTCTGCTTACTAATAATGCTCCTTGGAAGTGTGATTAGGATCGTAGCCTTAAGACTCCAGTTGCTGCTGGCTTTGCTTGCTTCTAGCATTCCTTTGGACGATAAGTTGCAGCATTTTAACTTTGAAAAATGCATTGGGTGCTCCAGAGTGAGTGATGTTGTGTGGTTCATTTTGGGTTGGGTTCTGTGTTTTAATTGGTTTCTCAGCCTCAGAGTCTGAATGCGATTACTTTGGGAATGAGATTATTGATTTCTGTACCCCTTTTGTATAAAGGGCTTCATGCCCCACACGTTATTTTTGAAGCAACCATATGAAGCAATTTCCATTTTATAAATAAAAGACCTGAAGCCAGTAGCGACTTGTCCAAAGTCGCCTTGTCAATTCATTGAAGATTTGTGATGCAAATTGATGTCCAGGCCAACCACTCTCCACTAGATCAGTCTGGCTCTGCTGTTATTTAACTAGTACTGTGTTTAGGGGGGAAATGCATGGATTTGGTGTATGACATTGGCTGAAACTAGACATAGTGCCTAATGTGTTTGCTTCTAAAACAGTAACCCCTTGTCATCCACTCTTTCCTTTATAGTGACTAGTGATCTAGAACATGTGACAGGATTGTATCATAGAGTTGTAAGAGCACCTCAAATGTCATTTAGTCCAATCCCCTGTGGTTGCAGGGAATCTACAGTATCCATGATAGCTGGCCATCCAGCCTCTGCTTGGTTCTAGCAAAGGAGAATCAACTTTCTAAGAGAGTCTAACATTTCACGTCATCAGGAAATTGTTACTCTTGTAATTTAAACCATTTGGATTGGATCCTGCCTTCTGGAACAACAGAAAATAAATTTGGTCCATCATCTGCACAGCAGCCCTTTAAATATTTGAGGATAGCAATTGTAGCACCTCATAATTGTCTCTTCTCCAGGCAATCATGACACACGCCTTCAGCCTTTCCTCATAGACTTCAATGCGACTTAGAATTTCATTGGTATTGTTTGTCACACGTTGCACTGCTAATTCATGTTTAGCTTTGGGTCTCATTAAACCCCTACGTCCTTTTCACATGTACTGAAGTCAAGCCAGGTGTCTTCCCTACAGATTGAGTGTATATTAGGGGAGCCCTCCAGATGTTGGGACTCAACAGCTCCCATCCAGCATGGCCAAGTCTGGGATGATGGGAGTCTAGCAACACCTAGAGGGCTGCAGGTTCCCTATTTGTGGTGGATCTTCCTGCCTGACTGCAAAGCTATATTCTGGGATTCAGAATATTTTTTTTCTTGTTTTCCTCCAAAAACTAGGTGCGTCTTATGGTCTGGTGTGTCTTATAGAGCGAAAAATACGGTCTTTATAAAGATGTTAAATGTTACCAAGCCTGGGACAGAACCATGTGTCACTCCACCATGTCACTTCTTTTCAGGGTGGTGAAATGTTGATTAGTGGTCTTTTGGGACAGTCCATTAGGACTGCCATATCTTGAAGAGCAAAAAAGAGGCAGAAGCAGGACCCCTGCTCCTACCTGATCTTTGCTGCAGTGGCCTTGCTCCGCTGCAGCACTTCTGCTTCCAGGGCACAGCGCCGCCCCGAACATGCTCGTACCCCCCCCCCCAGCCCCAACTCCCCCCAAAATTTTAAAAAACCAAACCCGGACATGTCCTTTAAAATGTAAAAATCCACCCAGATGGGCATGTTGGCCCTCCAAAAGAGGACATGTCCAGGTTTTCCCGGACATATGGCAACTCTACAGTGCATCAACTAGCCACAGGTCCACCTAACACAGTACCATCTAGACCGTATTTTACCAGCTTGCAAAAATGAATATGGGGGACCTTGGCAAAGCATTGCGGAAATAAATATAGTTCCCTGTTGTACCTCCACTGTTGGAGGCAGTATGCCTCCGGATACCAGTTACTGGGGAGAGTGATGTTGTGCTGAGGTCCTGCTTGCAGGCTTTCCATAGACATTGGGTTGGCCAGTGTGAGAATGGGATTGCTAGAAGGGTTGCTGGCCTGATCCAGCAGCGCTCTTCTTATTTGTTTATTTATTCAATTGTTGATTCACTTTAGCTTGCCCAGGGCAACCCAAAGCGAATTGCAACCAAACAAATAGACAATACACCCCACAGAGGTAGATTAAAACCAAGAGGAAAGAGAAATAATACATTAAAAACATCCCACCCACTTCTAAAAGGCCACTTATAGTTAAAGACCAAAGACCAAAGGCCTGGTTATAGAAGAAACTGTTTGCCTGGCACCTAAAGATATCTAATGAAGGCGCCAGGCGAGCTGCCCTGGGGAGAACATTCTACAAATGGGGAGCCACCGCAGAAAAGGCCTGTTCTCATGTTGCCACCCTCTAGACATACAAAGAAAGGTCTCACGTGATGAGCGCAGGGTCTGGGTCAGTTCATATGGGGAAAATAAAAAGAGGTAGGGAATAGGCCAATTATATGTAGACTGTCCCTGGATCAAGTGACTTTTCTTCTTTAAGTTCTCACTAATCTAGCTCAAGGTTTAAAAAAATTCCTTCCAGTAGCATCTTAGAGACCAACTAAGTTTGTTATTGGTATGAGCTTTCATGTGCATGCACACTTCTTCAGATACACTGGAACAGAAGTCACCAGACCCTTATATATAGTGAGAGGGTGGGGAGGGGTATTACTCAGAAGGGTGGTGGGAAGGGGTGATTGGCTGACAGGTGTGGTAAACCTGTTGACGACTGTTAATGCCTGCAGTTGGTCTACAGGAAAAAGCAAGGGGTGAGATGCCTAAAAATAGCTTTATCATGTATAATGAGATAAGAATCCAATGTCTCTATTCAGACCAGGTCTCTCCTTGGTTTTAGGTTTGGTAATAAGTTGCAACTCAGCAACTTCTCTTTCCAGTCTATTTCTGAAATTAGCTCAAGGTTGTCGTTTGAACCAGCCAGATGGTTAACTGATAAGCAATCGCAATCAGTCCATCATTAGACCCAAAAACGGCAACTGAACATTCCATTTTAGCAACTACAACAATGGTTTAAGGAGCCATTTGGTGCCTAGCTTATATATTGTGAGTTTCTAACACTGGCATTGTGTGCTAGTTACATACCGTATTTTTCGCCCTATAGGATGCACCGGCCCATAGGACGCACCTAGTTTTCAGGGGAGGAAATCAAGGGAAAAAATATGATCCCCCCCCCCGCAGCTCTGGGAGCAGCGGACAGGCTGCATGCAGCCTGTGCGCTACTCCAAGACCTTCTCCCTGCTTTTGCGGGAGGTGGCGGAATTCCCCCACCTCCCGCAAAATCCCACAGGAGCCGCTCGCAACTCCTGCGGGCTTTTAGATCAGGAGGGAGAAGGGACGGACTCGGCCAGTCAGTCCCTTCTCCCTCATTGGGGAAAAGCCCCCAAGAGCGGTGCGCTCTTTAAAGGCTGCGCGGCTCCTGCGGGCTTTTCTACGAGGTGGGGGAATTCCCCCACCTCGTAGAAAAGCCAGCAGAAGCCGCGCAGCCCCTTTAAAGAGCGCACGGCTCCTGCGGGCTTTTCGACCCAGATTTTGCCCCCCCATCCTCTGGGGTTGGCGATGGGGGAAGCGCTGCTTTCCCCCACTGCCAGCCTCAAAGCCGGGTTGGAGAGTAGCGGGAAGGCGTCACACGCCTCCCTGCTGCCCCCCATCCTCTGGGGCTGGTGATGGGGGAAGCGCTGCTTTCCCCCACCGCCAGCCTCAAAGAGCAGACTCTTGTGGCTTCAGCGGAAGCAACGCGAAGCCTCCGGAGCGCAGGCTTCGGAGGCTTCGCGTTGCTATCGCTGAAGCCAAGGAGCCTGCATTCGCCCCATAGGACGCACACACATTTCCCCTTCATTTTTGGAGGGGAAAAAGTGCGTCTTATAGGGCGAAAAATACGGTATACAGTGGTACCTCTGGTTACGTACTTAATTCGTTCCGGAGGTCCGTTCTTGACCTGAAACTGTTCTTAACCTGAAGCACCACTTTAGCTAATGGGGTCTCCCACTGCTGCCGCACCGCCGGAGCACGATTTCTGTTCTCATCCTGAAGCAAAGTTCTTAACCCGAGGTACTATCTCTGGGTTAGCGGAGTCTGTAACCTGAAGCGTATGTAACCTGAGGTACCACTGTAAATGTTCAGTGGTTGCTGTTTTACAAATAGGAGTGTGAGCTAGATTTTCAACATACCTGTTTAAAAACCATGGACTGGTTAAATCAGGCAGTCCATATGCCCTCTTATAAAATGCTATGTTCCAGCTGACATCTGGATTCTAGCCAGCCTGGAAGATCCAGTATAATATTGCCTCTCAAAATGTTATTCAGGGGACCTATATTGACTAACAAAAGCCTGATTTTTGGACCAACCCATCCACATAAAAAGTTTAGCTGCAGGCTAGTGTTGGGTGTGCTATGGGATGAACACTCAATTAATGTGGAGCAACGGTGAGGCCCAACAAGTTTGGCAAGCGTCATGTCTGAAGTAAGCATGTACCCAGAAGCTGAACGCTTTCCAGACTCCTTTGTAACACCCAGAGATTCCGTGCCAGACATGCAGGAATTCATTTGCGGCCAGCTCTCCATAGGAAAAATTCCCTGAAGCTAGGAAGTTCGAAAACGGCTGCAGTTTGGCATCATGCAAGGATGGGCAACCTCTGGCACCTGAATCTAATTTTGGCCATTCATACTCACCTGCCCTGCATCTGACATAACATATGAAGTCAGGTATGGGGCAGATAAAGACTTGGCTCAGCCAAAGGGAAGTTTGGTAGGCACTGCCAATCAGCTGATTAATGGTGTGTGCATTAAGTGGGTAAATAAATATAGGGAAAGCAAAATGTCACTTAGAGAAGGGTCTGAAAGATTTTCCTTGAAGCTTGAATTTGTTTTATTCTGGATTGGGTTTTTTTGGGGATGCTTTGGTGCAGGCATGTCCTACCAGTAGATCGTGATCTACCGGTAAATCCCCAGCTGATCCTGGTAGATCGCTGGATCCTTATCTATCCCGGGCTTAAACAAAGTGTACAAAAAGTTAATTTTAAAGAAAGCTCAAAAACTCTGTGGAATCCTCCCCACAAAAAGCTCAACAAGTCTGGGCAATCCACCCACCCCCTGCACACTTCTCCTCCCTCCAATGACAATGGGTAGATCACTGCCAGTTTTTTTATACTGGGAGTAGATCACAGTCTCTTGGTAGTTGGATGTGCCTGCTTAGTGTGTTGCAAACTGCTTTGAGATTTTTTCTTGTTAGATATATGTTTAATGATTATTATTATTATTATTATTATTATTTATACCCCGCCCATCTGGCTGGGCCTCCCCAGCCACTCTGGGCAGCTCCCAACAGAATATTAAAAACGGTAAAACATCAAACATTAAATAACAATAATAATTTATTATTTCTACCCCGCCCATCTGGCTGGGTTTCCCCAGCCACTCTGGGCGGCTTTCAACAGAACATTAAAAACAGAATAAAGCTTCAAACATTAAAAACAGCCCTAAACAGGGCTGCCTTTTGAAGTCTTCTAAAAGTCAGATGCTTGTTTATTTCCTTGACATCTGGTGGGAGGGCGTTCCACAGGGAGGGCGCCACCACCAAGAAGGCCCTCTGCCTGGTTCCCTGTAACTCCTCACAATGAGGGAACAGCCAGAAGGCCCTCGGAGCTGGACCTCAGTGTCTGGGCTGAACGATGGGCGTGGAGACACTCCTTCAAGTATACTGGGCTGAGGCAATTTAGGGTTTTAAAGGTCAGCACCAACACTTCGAATATATGTTATGATATATGGTATATCATATATATATGATGTATAGTGTTATGAATACATATATAGAAGTAGTTAAAATCAAAATTGCCATCTATGCTCAGAGTCAGAACTGCTTGTCAAAAGCATTGTCCGTAAACAGCAAGAACCTTGCCCTCAGCAATTATGTTCTTTAATAGGAGATTAATAGATGGCCAGATAAGAGCAGGAAAATTTATTGGAATATAATGACAAGGAGTTCGCACAAACAAGGAGAATTGCCAAGGACAAGTTTGGGAGGGATGGGTAACAGAATGTGCAAGCCAAAACCTTCTGAAAAGGAATGATTGAGGATGACACCTTAATAAGGTAGTAGGAATTTCTGAGGAGAAGACAACTCCAAATATGGTTTGTCCAATTGGAAGGCCAGGCAGAGTGTCCACAATCTGTTCACGCATTTCTTTAGCCAATAGCATTGCATAAATGATACGGGCATGAGGATTGCATATGTATTTACCTGATAGAAGAGGAGTATATAAGAAAAGCTGAAGGTCATACACCGAGGTCAGACCATGCTTGTGGCAATAGCATTGTGGCTGACCATTTGGCACTGTCTTAATGATGAATAAATCTCTGTTGAGCCTACCTTGTGTACCTGACTCCTCTTTCCTTAGAAGCTTTTGGCTGTCTGCTCCAAGGAAGGAACCCTAAGAATTTCCCTAACACTCTTTAAAATACAAAGCAGCATAGAAATGAATAATAATAGATCTCATTGAAAGAAAAATGGCGCCTAGACATTCTGTTGCGGCAACCGTAACCTAGGTTTAAGGTTCCATTTGGCGATTGGCTTATATACCTGAGTTTCTAACACGGGGTCTGGAGACCAAAGCCCTAGAAGAAAAGGTTGTGAAGGAGTTGGGTATAGCTAACATGGAGAAGAGGCAGTATGGTATAGCCACCTTCACATCAGGGCCATCACAGATAGTAAAAGCTAGATGATGGTACAGACTGTTTGGCAAGGAAGCAGACTTCTTTGGGAAATGGTGTGCTCTCCTTTATCAGAGGTTTTAAGCAGAGGCTAGATGGCCCCCCCATCAGGGATGCTGTAACTTCAGCAGAATGTGAAACTATTTTTCTAAGACATAGCCTGCGTTCAGACATGCTTATTGCAATAGTTTTCCTGGTTATAATGCTCTAATACTTCTGTCCTGATCTCTAACGGTTACTTTCACATTGTAGTACCTGTCGTGTTATGGAACTGTGGCTTTTGGAGCGTTGTGCTGCCATGTCACACGAAATTTTATACGGCAGAAAATAACTGTATGCCAGGATACTGCCTCAGATTTTGTCACGTGGAGTTATAGTGCAGACTGTGATTTCCGAGTTAATTGTGTTGCAAATGGTTTTTCCCACCCTGGAAGCAACATAGAATTGAGTGCTTAACTTCCGCCGGATTCCACAAATGGCTTTTATGTTGTGTGAAAGATTACATCTAATGCAGAAATTACCGTATTTTTTGCACCATAACACTCACTTTTTTCCTCCTAGAAAGTAAGGGGAAATGTCTGGGCGTGTTATGGAGCGAATGCCTATGGATGGCGGGGGGATCTGCTGCAGTCGTGAGCAGAGGATCCATGGTTCCCCTTCCTTCCCTTCTCCATGGCTCGCTTTGAAACAGCAAAGCGGGAGAAGAGCCGCTGAGTGGGGAGGAGAGGGGGACAGAGAGCCTGCTTGCTTTAAAGGAGCAAAGCGGGAGAGGAGAGGAGCCGCTTACACGGGTCACCCCAAATTCACCATCAGATCACATAGCATGTCCATGGCTACAGCTTGCACCAAAAAAATCATGCACCCACTGTTGCCTGGGGCTGCAGTGGTGCAAAAACGTGATTACAAAGCATGGATCCTCAGGATTTTTGCATTGGGCTACCCCAAACTCACCGTCAGATCACATGTCTGTGGCCACAGCATGAACCACAAAAATCATACATCCACTGTTTCGTTTAGATTTTTTTTTTCTTGTTTTCCTCCTCTAAAAACTACGTGTGTGTTATGGTTGGGTGCGTGTTATAGAGCGAAAAATACGGTAATCAGGCAAGGAAGCACCCGGAAAACAGGATAAAGTGCTTTTTTGAATGCAGCCACAATCTCTCAGACTAATCTGTCACATGAAGTGAGCTAACCCATTGATACTTACCTGAGCTCCTTGAAGGGAGAATCATAGAGCTGGAAGGGACCATAGGGATCATCTAGTCCAACCCCCTGCAGTGCAGTAATCTTTTGCCCAACCCAGGGCTCAAAACCATAACCCTGAGATCAATCGTCTCCTGCTCTACCGACTGAGCTACCTACGGTGATCATACAGGTGCTCTTGAAGAAACAGGGCTTTCTCGGTGGTGGCCTTGCAGCTGCCAAACTCCCTCCAGAGCCTTTCTTTATAATCTTTCAGAAGGCTTGTGGAAATATTTATGATTAGAAGTGGAATACGATTCTCTTCTGATTCTTACAAATGAGATTCTCTTATGGTTCCTTTTATGCCAGTTCTAAATGGCTTATGTCCCCTGCCGCCTTCCTTGAAATCTGAGCCAACCTGGACTGCTCCTTTGAAAGAATGGGGCACTGTAAATTATAAGAGTGAGCTTTTTTAAAAAAATGCAACCTCACGCCAGCTAAATTCTCCCAGGCATTGCAGAAAACTCAGGACTCTAGAGGCGGGAAGTTCCATAGCTGTGAGACACTTGTGGATAATACAAAGACCTTTGCAGGAGATTAGATAGCGCTTTAAAAAAATAGTATTATAGGTGGTGAAAAATTGGCCATGGTATCCCTGCCTCGGAGGGATACATGGCTTGTCACTCGAGACAGGTTTGTGTATGAGGACAGCTAAAGATATTAGCTAGTCTAGGACCGGGTGTGTGTGAATAGGGCTGCTGCAGGGACTTAGGCCAGGGGTCAGCAAGGTTTACCTCACCTGGGCCGGTTCACTCCAGCGCAGATCCCTCTGTGGGCCGGATCGCGCCCGCGCACCTGTGGTTTCCAGCGTCTGCGCAGATGCAATTTCCGGCGCAGCGGAAGTGAGTCCCTGCTGTGCGGCAGTTTAGCACAGTGCGCGGGGACTTGCCGAGCGGGGAGCTTGGCTTGGGGGCCGGTTAAACGACCCCCGTGGGCCGCTTGTGGCCCGTGGGCCTTAGGTTGCCGACCCCTGACTTAGGCTGTGTAAGCACCATACGTTTGAAACACCTGACGTCCCCCAAATAATCCTGGGAACTAATCATTCAAGGGTGCTGCGAGCTGTAGCGATGCAAGGGGAAAATGACAAGTCTCAGGATGGGGGAAGTCATGTGCTGCAAATGTACGGTGCCTACACAGCCTTAAAAAGGGTCTGTGGGGTAGGGGAGCATTACTACAGCAGATGGATTTTGCCTTGCTAGTTTCTGCCACTGGCTAAACTGAGGGGCCATAGCTTAGCAGTAGAGTGTATGTTTTGCATTCAGAAGGTTTCCCCAGCATCTCCAGGCAAGGCTGGAAACGGCCATTCTGAAACCAGCTACTGCCAGTCAGTATAGATGATACTACTACTACTACTACTACTACTACTACAGTGGTACCTCGGGTTGCAGGCGCTTCAGGTTACAGACTCCGCTAACCCAGAAATAGTACCTCGGGTTAAGAACTTTGCTTCAGGATGAGAACAGAAATCGCACGGCATCAGGAGGCCCCATTAGCTAAAGTGGTGCTTCAGGTTAAGAACAGTTTCAGGTTAAGAACAGACCTCCGGAACGAAATAAGTTCTTAACCTGAGGTACCACTGTACTACTACTACTAATTTTTACTATTTATATCCCGCCCATCTGGCTGGGTTCCCCAGCCACTCTGGGTGGCTTATTATAGCATATATAAAAACATAATAAAACGTAAAACATTCAAAACCAGAATATCTTATACAGACAATAAGTAAACCATTAAATCAATAGAAGCTAACAACCAGTTAGAAGGACCAGTGGTTTGGTCTAGTATCATCTATTTGCATGCTGCCTTTCCACGATCAGTATTGTCAAGGAGGCTCGCAGGATGAAAATTACATAATTCGCAAGTTACAAAATATAAGAAAACTTGAGCAGTAAGTTAACGAAAGCATCCCATTAAGAAATATTTGATCAAATTAAACAATCACCTTACAATTCATAATCGGATTTAACAGCAAAATACGAAAAACAGCAGAAATAATACACTGTACCCCCCAAATGTAAGTATAAGCTAGCTTCCTAGATTCAGATGTTGATAGCAGTGGTCCTTCACTGCAGTGGGCAAGCAAATGTCCATTATACAGATGTCTTCTTAGGTTTGGCCTCTGGGCTTGGAGTGGAGTTTCTTTCAAAGGCGCAGTCAGGGTTGCCTTCACAACCTTTGAATTTCCCATTTTTCAAGTGATCGCTCCAGTTTTTGTGGCAGCTCACATTGCTGAAAGTGTGCAGTGTTTATCTTCGTGGTTCAGATGCCCTTGAAACTGCAAGGACTCCCAAGAAGCATTATTGCCAGAAGGTTATATAAACAGCAAGTAACCAGCCAGGTACTGGGGGATGAAACCAGCATATTTGAATCTCTTTTATCCTGGTCCAAGAGTCACAGTTCAAAGAGTAAGGGCTCGTTCCCACTTCTGCTCAACTCATCTTGAGCGTATTGTGCACCGATTAATTGCCTCGGATCCGAGGGCTTTTCTCGTTGTTCCGTGGCTGTGCTTTGTGGAAATCCAATCCTAACTGCTGAATGGAAGCTCAGTTAAGCAAAACCTCTCTTTGGATTTTCTGCACATCAGATAAGATGCAATTTAGTCACTAAGGCTGGATTTTCACAAGGCGTAGCCACGTGGCAGCCATTTTAAAAAAAGAAGAAGCCACAGGCATGTACAAATGGTTGTTAACGGTACAATTCAGTTCACACTTAAGGAATCCAGCAACTCTGTCATTTTGCCAGTGTATGAAGAACAGGCAACAAACCCAGCCAAACAGGAGAAAACATCAGTATAGTTTAAAAAAAGAAAAAAAGATTATACATTCAACGTAGAGTAGCCCCATTGAAATTGATGAACCTAAGTTAGCAATGTTCATCAACTTCAGTGGATCGTCTACTCTTGAGGAGGACTAATCTTGAACATGAATATTGAATATGTCAAGCAGACATAAAGCATTCATTTCCATATCAGTTTCTGCTTCACATTTGTCACCATATTTATAATGGACTTACAAATCATTGTAAGTTTGCCTGGATTGAAACAAGTTTCTCTACCTCTCATAGTTGGACATTTTTCAGAAAAACAAAACAAAAAGAAAGGCTTGAAGAAAACCCGTCCTCTTTCCCGCCCTGAATTTTTCTCTTTCCCACAAGGCCTTCACATCTCTAGTGTACGATCTTAAATGGGCTTTGTAGGTTGTGTGTCTGAACTAGCGCAGGCTAGCATTGGAACATGTATTCGGAAGTTGGTTGCTATCTATATAGGACCAAACCAGTAAATTGATTAGAGTCAAATGCATCGCTTAAGAACCGAAGGAAGGAAGTGGTCCTGGTTTGGTCAGGATTGGGCCCAGAGTCCTTAACCATCAGTATGTATTATGGGGGGAGGCCTTATCCATGCTCATAGTGCTGTATTCACTTTTCAGACTTGTCATGCTGGAGTGTCCATGGTTCTCAGGTGCGCAGCAGGTGTTTCCACATCCTTGAAACTTAAACCTTTGTTCCAGGTTCCAGGTTCCTGAACTCCGTTGGCTGGCTAGCCTCTTCTTAAGACTGTTTGGATTTGGGGGGAGGCGTCGTCGATGAAATTATTTTCCTGTATTTGCACCATGACTAGGACATGATATGTAATACGGCCTGGTCGCTGCTGGGCCCTAAACTTCAGTATACTTATTAAGGATGCAATCAAATAGATAAGTGTTTTGAGCGGCATCCCAGCTGTTCCTGAGCGCAGGTATCTCCCCAAGCGTTTCCTGCAGGCATTGTGATGAGAAATTTGACTCATCGTTAGATTGGCAAAGCTACTCTTGGCGCGCAAGCCTATTTCTTTATCTGATTGAAACATAATCGCAGGATGGTGCGGCCTGCACAGGGGAAGCGTGATTTTCTGGATTTTACTGTTTTATCTTTTTGTAAAACCGCATTGAGGGGCTTTTGTTTGTTTACAAACTAGGGATGTATAATTTTTTTGAAATAAATCAGGGGTCATCAACCTACGGCCCGGGGGCCGGATAAGGCCCGAGGGACTCGTTTATCCGGCCCTGGTGACCGCCACCTGCCGCCGCCTGCTCTTACTGGTGTGGCGCGGCGCAGGGACCCACTTCCGGGTCGGAGGAACACTGGAAATAATGCACAATTATAGTGCACAAACGCTATTTCCGGTGCACATCCGGGTCAGAGGAGGCCCATGCACACAAGCTATTTCCGGTGCCCCTCCGACCTGAAAGTGCACCAGAAATAGCTCATGCATACGGGCACGCACTCCCCCACCCTCCAGCCCGCTGCGCAATTGTCGCTTGAGACACTGGCCCGAGGCAAAGAAAGCTTGGAGACCCCTGAAATAAATAATAAAGAAACGACAGAAAATAAGTGCTCAAGAGAGCACATGTTCAAAAAATAAGTTACTTACGAACAAAATACGGGCCAGATGATGAAGGTGTCGTGTGTATTAATGAAAAAGTGTGGGTTTCGTTTGAGTCACCCTCACACCAGCACCTTTTTACTTAAGTCAGCTTGCGCCTTGATCTGGCTTACCCTCCTGGCAACCTATTGCCCTAGCAACCTTTTTCTCTCTTTTTCCTCTGCTATCAACAATGGGAATCAGAATGTCCCCCTGTACCTCTGTAGAATCAAAAGGAAGAACAAAGCCTTAATTGTGATTGGGGTGGGTGGGTGGTCAATAGAATCTTAGCAAGCGCCTTCCTTGAAATAGTCTTTGCTTAAGGTGATGCTAAGGCAGGGTTAATTTGTTTGAACATAAGAAATTACTTAGACATTTGTTTTGGGACACCTATAGACCAAAATGGAAGATGCAGGCACTGCTTTATGACATGTTTTGAGACTTAGGGCAGGGGAAACGTTTGCAGTGATCTATTAAAGATGCTGTGCGAGCATCTCTTTAGGATTATGGCCTGCTGAATCATGAAAAAGTGTTAACGTAAAAGAATGTGAGTCCAGTGACAGGACAGGAAGTCCTCTGCTCCGAGTTCACCTTTTTTGGGGTAGTATTGGGCAGCTGTGGTAGCATTCTGAAATTTAGACTAGCTCCTTAAAATCACATCTGTGGCTCATCCAATGCTTTGGGGAAGGGGGGAGATGCAACTTGCTAAATGGTGTACAGTTCTGGTTCAGGTTTATGTTTTTCTTAAATTCAGGCAGTTCTATGTCCTCTGCAGCTTTGCTGCAATGTGCTTATTTGGTCAATGGCGTTCTGGCAGAGTTGACCCCTTGTGATTTTAGGCCTTTTGCTCTTGAAAGGTAAGGCTAACTCACTGCAGAGGTATCTTGGGGCCTTGAGAGCCTCCACACAAGAAAAAAAAACCCTGTATTTGTCTGTTTCTCGGGTTGTAAGTTAACTGCCTTTTCCCCCTTTTCATTTGAGGTGACCTGCATTGGCTTCCACGTGGTTTGGACCCCTAAGAAGTTACCGCTAGCCTAATGCCATGAATGTTGAGGCGGACAATGCGGAAGAAAAAGCAGTCCATTCGTGGTCAAGGATCTCCTCTGCAGGACAGAAGGCCTTGGAAGAAGCTCTGCGAGTCTTCAACCCCATGTCCAGGGACCTGTCTGACACGGAGACCCAGCTGGTAGCTTTTCTCCAAGGCCTCAGGGAGGAAGGCTACCAGCCCACCATCCTCAGAAGCAAAGACGTTTATGGGTACATGTCGTGTACTGCCCGTATGCCCGGTCAGGCAAAAGACAGCATTCCGGACACTTCGAAAGCAGCTGCCCCTATTTCGGAATCCGCAAAGGCTCCGGCCCGAAGCACCGCGGTCGTGGCCAAGGTACCTGGCCCCTTAGCAGGCGTTACCGTAAGTTCTCCCGAAGACTCTGAAAAGCCATTGCCGAAGAGCAGTAATTCCACAAACCTCCTGTTGAACTCTTTGAAACGGACACGCTCAGGCACATCGAATGCATCCGCTGTGGGCTTCCCTGCTCACATGTACCCTGGCGTCTACCCGGCCATGAGACTGTCTGTTGTGCTGGAAGCCTTGGTCCCTCTGAAAGCCACAGCCTCCTGCCTGGAGTCCAAATGTGAACAAGGGCGCCTTGGGATTTCGCCCTCGGACCTTAAGCTCCTCAAGGCAGCTGGGGCGTCCAGGCAGCCTCCGGCCATCAAAGCTACTAAAATGCCACCCGGTCAGTTGGACCCCAAAGGGTATAGGCACGCGGCGAAAAAAGGACCGGACTCTGGCGCTCTGGCGGTGAGCCTCGTGAAAGGACCCAAGGGTGGGGTTCTGCAGGAGAGCAACGCTTGCAAAGCCTCCGGGGTTCTGAACGGCCGGCTTTCCGGAAGCGCCTCCCAGAGCTCCAGTACTGGGACGTCCAGGACGAAGGAGCCGCCCGCGGCCAAAACGGAACGGAGAGGTGGCGGCAGCCGCCAGGAGACGGCCGAGCAGAAGAGGAAAAGAGCGGAGGAGGGGAAGGAGTTGCCGCACAGGAAGAAAACGACTCCCGTCTCGCCTCCTGGCAAACCGGATCTGGCGTCCGCGACGTTGAACCTGCTGAAGTTCCGGGCGATCAAGGTGAACAGCTCTTCCGATGACGAGTTGCGGAGGAGAGCACAGAAGATCCTCCGGGTTAATCTGTCCCCTGTCATCAGAATCCAGCCGTTGCCTCACTCCCGCAGCGTCCCTTGAGGGGCTCGGAGAAGTTGGAGCCGCAGGGCCACGAATGCAGGCGCCATTGAGCAGACTGCAGGCCTCTTGCGGGGGGAGTTGATGAGGATATCCACGTTTGCAGTCCTCAGGCCTGTCACTAGCAGCTGGGGAGAGTTCTGCAGAGTTGGGCAACTGTTGGATTATATATTATATAAAAAAAAACTTTTTAAGAGGCCTCCGACGCTTCATCCTGATAGATATAAGGCGCAGAGCATTAGCCTTCCTCTAGAACACTTTTCTACCATGCTTTTTTCAACATGGCAGAGCTCACATCTGGGATGTGGCAGCACTGGGGATGATTGGTGTACTGTGATATTTTACTTTTCTTTTTTTTAAAAAGCAAACAAACCTGTAAACCTACTTGGTTTTGATTTGATCATATTTTATATACTTATTATTAAATATAAATATCTACGGACGCACATACATGCATTGCCCAAGGGCTGTCAGAATGTGATCCCTTCCTCATTGCCCCCCAAGTTGGTTTCAAAAGCTTTTCTCTCCAATATGTTGCTAGATTGTTTAATGGAAGGCCTTTGCCTGTTTGCAGTGTTGCCTCCCTTGGCTGTAAATCTGAGTGGCTGGCTGCCCTTTACCACCCGCTGGCTCCCGCTTGCTGCCCATGCCACCACCTTATAGAGCTGACTGGGGGATAAAGGTTGCACATCAGCCGGGAGAGTTTATAGAAAGGGAAGGAGAAAACGTTTGCTTTCTCCGGTGCCCCCGTCCCTTCGCTTGACCAGGTTTTTTAATCCCAGCAGACCATGAGGCAGTGGCAGAGGAAAGGGGGTTTTTGGGGAGGAGAGTCGCCCCCAAATATGGAGACTTTGCATAGGAAAAAGTAGCAAGGGAGGACAGACCAAGGCCCCTGGCACGCCCCAAGCAAGCAGAAAAGGGTCCTCATAATTTAGTGCCAAGTTAGTGCCGTAGTGGGCAGGAAGGGCGCCTCTCTGTGGAAGCCCCTTCTGAAGATCTAGAGTTCATGGGGGGCTTTGCTTGCCAGCCACTTTCCTGTGTCCTGTGTTTTATTCTCCAAAGGGCAACTTAGCAAACCATAGTGGAATTGACCCTCCCCTCTCTTTAGTTTTTTTTTTTTTTTTAAGAACCTGTGGCTGCTTATGATAAATATTTTCTAGTGCAATCGTTGGAACGTTTCTGCCACCAGACATTTTAGTATGTCTGACCTACAGCCATTGGGCATCTGAATTTACCCAGGTGTATCTTGCTGCAGTAAAGTGACAAGGTTTTTGGGCTTGATGTAGAAGTGACTGGCCGTGATTCTTGTTGCAAAAGGAATCCTAGCATTGCATAGTCGGAAGGGACCTAGTCATCTAGTCCAACCACAGCAGAGGCTTCTGGCCTGTGAGCCTTTAAAGCAGCCTTTCTCAACCTTGGGTCCCCAGATGTTTTGGGCCTACAACTCCCATCATCCCTGACCACTGGTCCTGTGAGCTAGGGAGCATGGGAGTTGTAGGCCAAAAACATCCGGGGACCCAAGGTTGAGAACCACTGCTTTAGGATGTGAGGGCGATCTGGCTGCGACATCTGCCACCCCATTGATCGCCAGGGTTGATTCGGCTGATCTGGCTGGCTAGGCGGGTGTCCCCTTCCTCCCTCACCGCTCCATGTGCGTCCCTCCCGAAGCTGCGCGCTCGGTGGAAGAGGACGACCATCCCAGATAGAAGGAGTGTACCGTTCTTCGGTCAAGGGTATACGATAGCTGCGCTCCCCTGCTAGAACCTCCAAACAAGCTCAAGAGAACCACTGCTTTAAAGGTTCTTATCCTTGCCAGCACCTCCAGTATTTCAAGAAGAGCATACTTCAACTTTGTGCCACGTTTGCAAACCTAAGCTTGTTTTAAACCTGTTGAACCACTATGGTAGAAGGTGAGGAAACTTCTCCACGAGCCATTGGCAGATGCTCTTGACTTTGCAGAGCTGCCAGCACCATCATTCTGGAAATCTGCCTTCTCACGCCTTTGCTGGGACAATCTTTGCGTTTAGCACAGCAGCTCATCTAAGTTGCTGCTTGGCATCTTTCCATTGGGGGTGGGGGACTCTAGATTTGAGCGTCTCCTCTCAGTTGAGGCAAGGAGAAAATCTAGCCTCTTCCGACTACAGCTCCAGCACTTGGGCCTGCCCCAGTTAAGCTGCTTTGAGAAAATATTCTCTCCAAAGGATAATAGCCTTCCTTTCTGCGATCACTTCTGAGTTAGGTATTTATCTCGCTGGTAGGGCAAAAGGAAAACAGGGGGACCTCCCCCTCCCTTCCACCAAGCCGCTGTAGATGCTTTAAGAGCGTTCTTCTCAATGAATTTGTAGGAAATCCTTTCTGTTCTGCTCTTCCAATAGGGAATGTGCTAGGGGCAAGTTTCTTGATGACGCCATTAGTGTGCGTGCGCACACTCACACCAAGTGCCTGGCAAAGTCGAGATTGGGTGGCAGTTGGGTGCGTCAGTACGCAAACAAATCTGCTTCTAGAGGAGACTGTTTTCCTCCCGGAACAGCTTTTGGTGAAGCCTTGGTTCTTGATTTGTGCACCTGTTGTACTCACAACTACGTAGGAGCATAGTCTGGCTTCAGCTGTGTGACTTCCACCTGCTCAAGTGCCCTTGAGGGTTTGTCGTTTTCGTTGGAGGAGTTACGGCTTGCCAAGAGAATTCTTAGCCAACTCACAAAACTCTGCGTACCTGGATTGTGTTCTTAAGGGAGGAACAGTTGTTACAGCATGGAGGGAGAAACTCTGACACACACACACACACCAGATGTTGTTGAACTGCAACTCCCAACATTCTTGACCATTGGCCGTGCTGCTAGGGGCTGGTGGGAGTTGAAGTTTCCACAACATCTGGCTGAACAAATATCTTGGATTGATAAGAGGAACAGAGATAGCAATTAAATGAGGCTCCATAATCCGTTTGCAGGCAGTAAAGGGAGATTAGCACTCTTTGCCCTAAATACCAAATGCGAGATTGGCTGGATGTGTACATGTGTGTGTACCAAGTCCCTCTGTAAATGTCCTGGGCTGAGAGCTGTAAAAAGAAACAGAAAGCAAAAACAAAACAAAACATAAACCCACAAAAAAAACCCCAACAACAACAGATAAGGTCTCAGCCTGGTATAGAATCGTGGAGTTGTAAGGAATCCCAGGATCATCTAGTCTGGTCCTGTTCAACGCAGGAATCACAACTAAAGAATCCCTGACAGATGGCCACCCAACCCCCGTTTAAAAATCTCCAATGCAGGATAATCTGCCACCTTCCAAGGTTCTTTGTTCCACTGTCGAGCAGCTCTTACTATCAGAGAGTTCTTTCTCACCTGAAAAGGAAAAGGATTTTTTAAATGGAAATTCATCAGGCAGTTTGCTTATATGGATAAGCCATCAATTTTGAGTTTATTTGTTGTGGCTCAACCTCTCCTTTTGGTTTTGCAATGTTAAAATTAGCCTGGAAGGGTAGTGTAACGCGTAAGCAGTTTACGAATAGCGCAGGACGAAAGCTCTTCCATTCAGGCTCGGGGGAACCCCAGGGAGGAGGTCAAGAAGGTCTTCTAGGAAGCAGGTTTTCAGTCTGCTGCAGCGAAGCGTTCTGTTCCCCAAAGACACTAGCAGCATGGCACTTAGCCCGGTAAAGATATAACTCTAAAGAAAACTTAAGCAGGAATCTAGATAGCTTTTTGTGCCTTTACAATGGTCACATCTACTTAGCCTGTAATATTTCCTCTCCCTGGTTGATGCTTGAGAGGCCCACGTAGTTCACTGCAATAAGTTAGCGCGAGGAGATGCATGGGAAGAATTCCCCCAGCCTCTTAATGCCCATCAGCTGAAGTGGGGGAGAACCTGTGATGACCCCCAGTTGCTTGCCGCTTCAGTAGCAAGCTTTCTCAACTAAAACGATCTCACTACTTAAAAGAATGCTAAGAGGGGAGGCTGTGTCTTGTGGTGGATGCTTAAACAAAGGACTGGTGCCAAAAGTGCTTGTAGACCTCCGCCATCACTTAATTTTGGGCATGGGGAAATGGGGCCAGCACTCATCTCATGCATGCAACCTCTGCTACTCAGTTTCCAGATGTCTTTGGAGTAGCCACCCTCAAGTGGTAAAGCTCCACAATAGATCCGATTTCCTTAGATCTATCCTATGTGTCTATCTGCCAAGTATTCTCTCTTCGGACTGGTGCTGGTTGTTCAGAGTCTCAGGCAAGGGTCTTTCCCCAAGCCCTGTTTCCTTTTTAGCTGAAGATGCTGGGGTTGCAGCAAGGGACTTCGGCATGGAAAGCAGATTCTCTACCACTGAGCTGCAGGTGCTTCTTTGCATGCATCCATGTCCGCTAGGTCACAGGGCCAGCATCCCAGCTTCAAAAGAATCTTTGGGGGCAGGGGAAGATTTGTTTTAGGCAAAGCAACCTTAGAGAGTAACTGCTGGAGAAGACTATAATGCTTTGGATGCTAGGTATGAGACGACGTCACATGTTGACGTATGTATTGATCTCCAGCCTCCCATAGGAGAGGTTACGACGCAGCTATCTGGCAATGACTACTCAGAGCTTTCATCTTTGGGTCCCGGGCAGCTGTCTGCACTGTCCTGTTCCTCCACCCTGCAATTTCCTAAGCTGAATCAGCTTGAGATTTCCCAGGATGGCTCTTTTGCGTTGTCGACTGAGCCCTCGCATACTTGGACCTCTGGGCTCGAAAGGCTTTTGTTCACTTAGAGGTGATGGCTGGATTCACTTCTGCACGGAATTGAGTGCCTTTTGGGGGAGAGAGGCAATTGGAAGGGGCAGGCGAGGCCCTTGGCTGCACAGACCCCTGGCCAGGTTCTGTCCAACGCTACTCGCAATTCCACAGCTCCAGTACCAGAAAGCATGCATCCGAATGGTCTCGGATTGAGCCGTTCTTCATGACGCTTGCATTTTATAAGGGATTACCTATTCTGTGCGCCCTGTGGTTGGGAGTTAGCAAGTGCATTTGTAAGCTGAGAACATGCTTCATGCCCTCTTGGCTTGCTGGGCATGTGGAGGCTCTGGATGCGATAAATGTGAATAAATGCTGCGGCTGAGTGGGTACGGACACCTGGAAGAAGGAAGCGGGATTAGGAGTACTTACAAGATATTACACGCACTTAGCTGCTCAGTCTCCTATTCTTAGTCTCTTGTGACAGGCTAGTTCTGCTTTGGGGCGGGGGACTGTAGCCCTGCTCACTCAAACTGCACATGCATTCCAATGTGAGTCATGGGCACAGCCAGGGGGGCAGCTGCCACCCCATCAAGTGAATAAATAAAAATAGTTAACTAAAAGTAGAAATTGTAGAAAGGTTTTGACAGGTTTTTTCAGAGCGTGGGGTCCAAAGAAAGCGATTTAAGACATCTGTTGGGACATTTCATTCTGAATCTGCTAGAGTGAGCCAGGCAGGTGGGTGGCCTACCCCCAAAAAACATACATCCTGGCTACGCCCATAGTGTGATTGGGGCCGCGTTGACCAGAACCACCCCTGACATTTGCAATAAGGGAGCTTTTCGATGTCCCACTCTATGTGTGAAGCTTCCCTCCCTGCAGTCTTGTGTGAGGATTCCAAGGGGTTCCTGTTGCTTTAAGAATCTTTCCCTGTTTTTGTGAGTGAGCCCCATGCTTCTCATTGAGCAACCTTATCGTTGGGAGGCGATTGGGCATGGCCAACCTGCCTCCTTCCTGCTTTCCTTGGTATGTGTTTCCTACCAGAGTAGATTGGAGGTGGTGGATTAAGGCAAGCCAAAGACCAGTCACCTTTGCTGCATGGTTTGCAGGACCCAGACCGATCCCCACCAGTCGTGCGAAAGGCTTCGCTGTGGCTGTGCCAGCAGGGATCGGAAGTGCTAAAATGTCGTGGGCAGGCCCTTGGGGAGCTCTCTCTGTGGAGAACGATGGTCTGGAAATATCCCTTCCCCCTGTTTTTCTTCCTATCGCTCGGACAGGGTATTGCTGCTATGCCAGTGCCTGGAACGGGGAGGGTCTGTGGAAACAGTTGTTAACACACAAGGCATTGAAAAACCACTGTGTCTCCCAGCTGTCTCTCTGCCTCTGCCAGTCTCCATATGCAAAGCACTTTGAATTGTACCCTTTTTGCGCCCGAAGGACATGGGAGCCACAGAGGCAGCCTTCGTTTATGTAGCACACCACGACTCTCTCCTTGGTCCTTTCTGTTTCGGATGCTATCTTTCCTGGTAGACGCCACCTGCAGAGTAGCTAGATTCTGCCAGCCAAACTACGGCAGGGCCAGCACAAGGTATTGTGTGTGTGTGGTGGTCCTTCTCAACGTTTCTACATTGCCAAGCACAAACCTGGTGTCCTTTCATGGAAGTGGATCTCATCTCCAGCCCTGAACTTGTGGCCACCCGCCATTTTCCCAACGTGCTGTAAACCTTGATATAACATTATATAGACATATATTTTTCTCTGGCCATTGGTTACTTCTCACCTGTGACTCCCTGGCACTATGTGGGAGGAGAAGCAAACAGAACACTTTGATATTATGGGTTTGAACCACCACCTGGCTGCCTCGCAAGAGCAGATTTCTCTCCCATTCAATTTCTTTGTGCAGGACGTTTTCTGAAGTTCTCTGTTTTGATGTTACATATGCAGCCAGCCCACCGTTCCCGGTTTCAGTGTTTGTATATTTTTGGAACAGCCTCGTGTGACGCGAGCCGACTTTTTGAGTATTATGTTTTCACCAAGGAGGGAAAGGGAACAAAAAACCCCGACCTGTCTTTTATTTTTTAAATGAAGTGAAAGTTTTCTTTCCTTGGTTTTGGAATTGTAGCAGATGACCCCCGCTCTGCCATTCTACATAAAAAATGGTGCTTCAAAACCCAGCTTACTGTGTCTGTCTTGTCTTTTTAAAGTCCTTTTGTCCTTCGGATATGTTGAAAACTGAGGCGAGATGGGGGTGAGAGTCTTGGGTTGCAGAGAAACTACCCAATTGTGTTCCTAATATCAGTCACATGCAGCGGAGGCAAATGTAGAGCAGCCTGCCGATAATTCATTGGTCCCCAGTTCACATATCTTGAGCCACAATTGATACACATGTCTGCATGCGAGAAGAAGCTCCTCAATTCTAGTGCCTGTTTGAGGAAGAAACCACCATAAGAAGCAGGAACACAACTGTAAATGGTCCATTACTCCAGGGGCAGGGGACTTGTGGCCCTTCAGCTGTTGCTAGGCTACAGCTCCCACCATCCCTGACCATTGAGCATGCTGGCTGAGCTGATGGGAGCTGGTGTCCTGGAGGACCACAGGTTCCCCGCACATTAGCCTTCCTGTCTCCTCCTTGCAACAATGGATGGATGTAAAGGCATGGTTTGCTGAAACCCTTAATGCTTAGGATTTCTCAGATGAGTGATGCCCAATTCTACATTGATAGATGCAGATACATGTAATTGGGTGTTACTGAAAGGGACACAATTCAGCCCTGGTTTATTGATAAGCTTTGCTGTTCTGTAGTGTAGACACGGGTGGCGCTGTGGTCTAAACCACAGAGCCTAGGGCTTGCCGATCAGAAGGTCAGCGGTTCAAATCCCCGCGACGGGGTGAGCTCCCGTTGCTCGGTCCCTGCTCCTGCCAACCTAGCAGTTCGAAAACACATCAAAGTGCAAGTAGATAAATAGGTACCGCTGCAGCAGGAAAGTAAACGGCGTTTCCGTGCACTCCTCTGGTTTTGCCAGAAGCGGCTTAGTCATGCTGGCCACATGACCCAGAAGCTGTACACCGGCTCCCTCGGCCAATAAAGCGAGATGAGTGCCGCAACCCCAGAGTCGTCCGCGACTGGACTTAACAGTTAGGGGTCCCTTTACCTAGTGTAGAACAGGGATGGGCAACCAGATGGCTTGAAGAGGAGGAAGAAGGGATAGAGAGAAGGAAAGACGTCAGAAAGAAAAATGTAGGTGGTAGAAAGGACAAAGAGGGCAGACCTGTCCATTGGCACCTGTCGTTCCTACAGCTGACATGGAGCTTTCCCTGGTAGACTATACCCTTAAGGCAATGGTTTTCAACCAGTGTGCCGTAGCACCCTGGGGTGCCTTGAATTATAGCCGGGATACCACAGGCAACAATGACTTCTACCCCTCTTCCCTTCCCTCCCTCCTCTGATGCCCTCTCACATCTTTGCCTCCCAAAGGCTTGTGTGGTTGGTTGTTGCAGCAGCCCTGGCTACAAACTCCCCAAGCGAATAGTGCCTCTGGGGCTGGCCAGCGGTTGCTGGTTGCCAGGAGCTGAGGCTGCCTCGGAATAAGCAAGCAAGTGGGTGAGGGAGCCCAGCTAGCCAGTCTGCCAACCTTTGTGGTTGGGAATAGACGGACAAGCGGGAGGCTGGGCAGTCGGGCACCACACTGGCCTTTCTCGTGCTTGCTGTGTGCAAGGCCTGCCTGGGAGCTGAGTGCCTGGCACCGTAGGGCAGCCTTTCTGCCATGCTGGCCTGGCGGTGGCCGCTGCTGCCTCCCAAGATGGGTAAGGAGCTGTTCTCACATTCACCTTTGGCCAGTCTACGTCGGGCCACTAAGGCTGGAGGCATCCTCTTCCTAAGCCTCTGTGGGGTGGCATGAGGAGGCACTTCTCTCTGGGGCGTGTGTGTGGGGTGGGAAGTGGCTCAGAGACCAGGGGCAGTGATGGCAGCTGCCCAGAGGAGGACTCCCAAGGAGAGGGGAGAGGACAGGAGGCTGAGGGAACACTCCACAAGGGAGGGTATTCAAAAAGGGGTGAGGGGCTGCCGGTTCTGTAACTGGAGCTGCAGAAAGAATATACAGGTGAAACTCGGAAAATCAGAATATCGTGGATAAGTTCATTTATTTCAGTAATTCAACTTAAAAGGTGAAACTAATATAGGAGATAGACTCATGATATGCAAAGCGAGATATGTCAAGCCTTTATTTGTTATAATTGTGATGATCATCAAATCTCTCTTCTGATGAGAGCAGCTTTTGCATCTCATTTGGAAACCAAGGACCCAGAGTGGAGGAAGAATGGGGAGGCACACAATGCCAGATGCTTGAAGTCCAGTGTGAAGTTTCCACAGTCTGTGTTGATTTGGGGAGCCATGTCATCAGCTGGTTTTGGTCCACTGTGCCTCATTAAGTCCAGAGTCAACGCAGCCATCTACCAGGAGATTTTGGAGCACTTCATGCTTCCTTCCGCAGACGAGCTTTATGGGGATGCTGACTTCATTTTCCAGCAGGACTTTGGCACCTGGCCACACTGCCAAAAGTACCAAAACCTGATTCAATGCCCATGGGATTACTGTGCTTGATTGGCCAGCAAACTCGCCTGACCTGAACCCCATAGAGAATCTATGAGGCATTGCCAAGAGAAAGATGAGAGACATGAGACCAAGCAATGCAGAAGAGCTGAAGGCTGCTATTGAAGCTTCCTG